CTTTTGATTATTGGAACTATTGTTTGCAAATCTAATCCAACCAAATAATACTATTTTGAGTTTTTGGACCTATTTTCTTCTCTATCATTTTGAAATATTAATAGACTTCTTTACCATGGGTTGAGCATCATTTGTCTTAGTCAATTATATGTGGGTTTTTTTTTTTTTTTTTTGTGTGCTTAAGATAGACAAACTACATCACTACATAAGAGAACTCCAATGTAAAAAAGAGTATTGAAGTTATAAAAAAGAAAACGTCTCCGTTAGAAGAGGGAAAATGACATTTTTCTTGAAATAAATTAAATAATTAATTATTTTTTTCATTTATTTGAGCTGAAAACATTTTTATTTAAATAAATCTTAATTCACTTAAATAAAAATAAACTGAACAGTCCTATTTTTGTGTAAAGTAAAGAAATTTTAAAACCTTAATTTTAACTTAGTTTGATATACACTTATGGTGTTCTATTCAAGCTAGGATGGGTTTCATTCATTTTTTGTATTTTCTGGGTGAAAGCCCAAGTTACTTTGTTGAACTTTTAGTTGCTTTGGAAAAAAAAAAAGTTGCTTTTGTGTGATAAATTAAAGCATGTGATCATTAATAAAATGTTGGGATTATGGGTATGCATAAATTTATAATTCTAAAAAATCATGTGCATTAATTTTTAATTTTAATTATATATATATAATCTAAAAACTTTTATATTTAATTTAAATTTTTTAAATTTTAATTTATTATTTTACTTACAGTTAAATTTAAGTTAAATAAAAAATTCTCATCAGATATTCTTATAACATATATCAAAGTAGAGAATATTGAGTATTGAACACATATTGCCAACAACTTTGATGGATTTGGATGAAGAAATAATAGTTATACTTAATTTTTATATAATAATTTTTACAAAAGGGATGATAAATAGAAGAGGGAGAGAAGATATATGATGCAATGAAGAGAAATAAAGAAAAACCTGTATTGAAAAAGGTATTGTAAAAAAAATTATATATAAACTTTTCTGTAAAAGATTGGGATTTTGGAGACAAATGTAATGATAAAATTATAGTTAATTAAATAATGATTTTTTTTTGGATTTTTATATTTAATTAAATTAATATTTTACGATTAATTCTTTATTTTAAAATATATTTTAAATTATTTATATTAAATTATTAATACTAATCAAAATAAATTAATAATTTTTTGTAATTAGATGCTTTTATATTTCATTTTTACTATTAATATTTTTTCTTTAACTAAATCATTATTTATAATTTTAAATGAAAATTTTATATATAAAATATTCATACAGTATAAAAGATACATCGTAAACCTATGAAAATCTAAAATCTCATCAAAAGCATGGGATTTTGGAGACAAATGTAATGATAAAACTAACACAGTGCAAATGCACTGCACAAATTCACTCTGATTTTTCTTTCTTTTTTCTCTTTTTGTTTCCGGTAAATTATGTGTTTCAAATTTTTATATTTAATTAAATTAGTATTTTACAGTTAAATCTTTATTTTAAAATATATTTAAAATCATTATAACTAATATTAACTATTTTATTTAACATTTATAAAAATAAATTTATATATTTTTGGTAATTACGTGCTTTTATATTTTATTTTATTGTTAATAATTTTTTCTTTGAGTAAATCATTATTTTATAATTTTTGAACGAAGAAGATATATTTAAAATATTCAGACAATATGTAATATACATCCTAACCGGTGAAATCTATAATCCAATGAAAAGATTGCCACCTCCTTACGCTTCATTTTCAAAGATTGAAATCTGGTTTTTTTTGCTTAAATTTTGTCACTTGAAGTAGATTGGGGTTCACCGACTGGTCACTGGATCACTCATCATTCCAACAACATATTTTTGGTTGCGGACCAGATGCTTCGGTCTAATCTTACTTTTTGGTTTTATTATATGAAAGCGTAATCCCATATTAAAATAATATTAATAAATACTAAGAATTCAAGAGTAATCACATCCATGACAAGTACACTTTCAGATTCATAGAACGCGACCCCCTTTCTGTTATTTTTAAAATTAATACTCAAACCCCCCTTTGCGTGACTTCAGAAAAGAAAGAGACTATATTTTTTAAATTATGTTTATCTGTACACAATTACAGAATAATTGTTTCAAATTTATATTATTTTTTATTTAAGTGTAATCAATCTTATATTATTCATCGATTGTGCATGAAAATTATATTAATAATTCTTAACATATATTATTAAACTTTTTTTAAATTATAACAAATTAAAGTATTTTTTGTATTTTAAATTTTGTTAATCTTATCTTTCAAGACTGAAAATAAACAGTTAATAATAATAAAATTTTATTAAAAAATTATTTATTATATTTTTATAATTTTAATATAATAATTATGTATTTTTTTATAAAAAAATTATTTGTGGATGTTTAAATTTGACTTTAAAATTGAAGTTAACAAAATCTATTTATTTTTAATAAAATATTAATGTTTAAAAAAAATCTTATATTATTTTTATATATCTTCAAGCTGATATTTTCATTTAAAAAAGATGATATACTTGTGAAAGCTGATGTGCATGATTTATTTATTTATTTCAGTGAGAAATGGACTTGTTTTAGTTAAGAATTTTCAGAAAATCAAAAGGGGTGTGATGGAAGCTCCAAACTTCTTCAACCATACAACTCCCACTTGTAAAGCCACTTTGATTATTAGATGTTACTATTTGTGTTCTTGGGTACCATTGGGGCATGCTGTGCTTAAGGGCGTTGATTGGCTCTCTGTAATGAACTATGAAAAGCATAGTGGGTATCTTTAATGTATCAATTTGATGCGAATATTGACTGGCTCAGCTTTGGGGACCATACCGAGAAAAATATAATTGCCCAATTTGGTATGTCTCCCAGGCATAATGCAGGCCTAAAACATAAAATATATGCTACTTGTAAGGCTGCTAAGATATATTTTAACTACCCAAAGATAGGTTTGTCTTTCAATGTTTTTATTAATCTTTTCCATACACACTGTAACCAAATAAACTTGATCAATGTTTTTACTAATCCAAGTTACTAACGGTGAAATAAGAAATGAATGGGTTTAATTTTGTATTTCACAAATTCATGCTCTTATTATTAAGCGGTGAGGTGACTTCATTCCCCACTCCCACTCCCATTCCTAGTTAAATATGCTTGTTTTTCTTGTTTTGTTACACTAGTTGCAAGATATAAAGTTAACTTTATATTTTTTTTATCTAGTTGTTTATTCACTTTATTCAATTGATGTTTAAATTTCTTCTATTGATATTAAGTATAACTAGATACTTGTCAATTAATTACTAGTAAAACAGTATTCCATTGTTAAACTGATTTCAAAGTTACAAATTTCATTATTAGAGCAACTCCACTATTAGGTTATCTGTGTAGGTTTACTTTACAGCAATTTCATTATTTTAGTGTGCTTTACAATAATTCAGTTCAAAATTTGGTTTACTTTTTACATAAAATCCATTGTCTGGAATGTATTAAAATAAAAATTAACTGTATTTTTTAACCATTTAATATAATCTATATGCGTTTAGACACTCGCTCATATTTAGTTGGATTTTGTAAGGAATTAATTCAATTTTGATTTTAAATGTATGACCCTTATTTATTATTACAAATTGATTTAAATCCTATTTTGTTATACCGTGACTTTCAAACCGGAAATTAAAATTAAATCTATATATTCAGTTTAAAAATTATGCTATTATGAAGTGATATTATCCAGAAATCGCTCGGGAAACATGAGAACGTAAGATAAGAGCTAAAAAATATATATAAAATTCCGAACTAAATAATTAATAGATGATAATATAAATTTTATATAAAAGTTTGTCATAGACAATGTTATATATAAAACATCACAAGCTAATATATTTTTTCACTTTGTCTACTTAATACAAAGAGAGAACAAAAATACACTAATTGAAAAATGCAATATAAAAAAAAATTGTATGCAACACTATTTGTATTCCTATGAACATCCAATAACATTATGAGAAATACTAGACTTGTCAAGAAAATAAAAATCTAACATTCAACTTAGAAATCAATATAATTTTTAATGACAATTTTAATGCGATTTAAAATTTAAATACAACTAAAATTTACATTGAGTTGCTTACATTTATTAACGCATACGAGAGATACTTAAAACAATTGTATTAAATTTATTCATCCAACACCAATCTTAGATACAATTTTTACATCCCCAAGGTCACATGCGAAAGTTGAAATAAACCATGCAAGATATGCTCAATCTCTCTAACAATTATATCCATATCTCAAATAGCCTATGCCTGCATGGAGTTTCAGTTTCAGCTGCCAATTGAAAGTGTTCGAATGAGTATAATTTTATAAGAATAATTTTTTTTAAAATGATGTAATTTGTATTTGTAATTTTTTTAAAAAATGTAATAAAACTTAGTATAAATACAAAAGTTACAATTTATCGTATTAATTTAAATGTAAAATTAAAAATAAAATTAATTTTAATCAAGAATAATTAAACATTAAAATTTTATACAAAATTATGTTATAAAAAATTAATCATAATTTTATAATATTTCAATGTAAATTACTATATGCACTCAACAAATAGAGTATATTAAGATGTTGAGAAATAAAGATAAGCATAGGTTGGCAGTATAGATAAAAACTTTATTATTTTCATATTAATATTATTCTATACTTTTTACTTAGAAAATAAATAGAGCATACGAGTATACACTGAATATATATTTTTATTTTATTATTCAAATAACAAAGTAAAGAAATGCCTGCAAATAAAAAATTGGAGAGAAAAGCATGACATCTGCAACCGGCTGACTAAACGTGTGAACCAAGAACCGGTTTTTTTTTTCCCACTAAGAAAACCAAACTAATTAATTTTTAAAGAATGTAATTACGATTGCGCCACCGATTAAAAAAAAAAAGTTGGGTATTTGATCTCTCTCTCTCTCCGACAATCCAATTCGAGAGAGAGAGAGAGAGAGAGAGGGAAGATTCATTCAACCATTCACACTCACGGTGACCTGTTTGTAGTTCTAGTGAGAGAGAGAGAGAGAAGAGAGAGAATAGCACAACAGAAACCCCCAAAAAGCAATGGCGAGTTTTAGGGTTTTGTGAACAGAGTGCGATGGAAATGCCTGCCAGAAGATCCAACTACTCGCTTCTCAGCCAAATTCCCGACGACCAGTTTTCCGGCTCCATCGGTCCTCCGCCTCCCTCCTCCTCCGGCGACGGTAAAACCGGCCGACCAGGCAAGTTGGACCGAGCCTTCGATTGGGACCTCGTCGCCGATCACAGAGCGGCTCAGCAGGGGAACAATCGGATCGGAAACTTGTACTCTTCGATCGGCTTGCAGAGGCAGTCCAGCGGGAGCAGCTATGGCGAAAGCTCGCTCTCCGGCGGCGGCGAGTACTACGCTCCGACGCTGTCCACGGCGGCTGCGAGCGAGGTCGATGCCTTCGGATACCTGCATGACGAGGGATTCAAGATTAGCGAGGTGAGGAGCAAGTTTTCCGAGGCTCCGCCGAGGACTGCCAGCTCCTCCGGGAAAAGCTGGGCACAGCAGACGGAGGAGAGTTACCAGTTGCAGCTGGCGCTGGCGCTGAGGCTCTCGTCGGACGCCACGTGCGCTGATGATCCTAATTTCCTGGATCCGTTGCCGGACGATTCCGCTCTGAGGCGGTCGTCCACGGCGGAGGCGGTTTCCCATAGATTCTGGGTATGTTGATCGTCGTGCCTTTCGTTTGAGTGCCTTGGATTGGATTATGATTGCGAATTCTGGTGACGGCTTTCATTGCAAGGTGTTTTTTTGAATCGAGTGTTAATGACTTAGTGGTATAAATAGTTACGGAGCGTGCGGATGGAGATAGGTGTGCTTTGACTGTGGTGTTGTGATTACTTGTTGATAAGTCAGATTAAGTGCAATGTAATGTTTGCATGAGGTGTAGCAGCTGCGTTTCTGTGATTGATGTGTTTTTCTTATAAAATATTGAATTTATATACGTTTGTGTGGCTTCTAGTCTGCATCAATAGGAAGATCTAATTGTGGTTGATGATGGCAAATTTTGTAGACAAACTTTTAGAAGTTCATTCAGAGTCATAGACTGTTTGGTTCTTTGCTATGGGTGATTGGAGAAGTGTAGTTTGACTTGAATCAAGGAATTTGCATTAGTACAGAAACCTTGTGTTTTGTTTCTTCCAAAGGACAAGTCTAGTAGGGAGTAATCCGGATATCAGAGTTCCGTTTTACATTTTTCCTCTCCCCCCCCCCCCCTTTTAGCGTCTGCTCCCTGGGAAAATTGCAGGTTTACATGTTATTTCCATATTGCTAATTCTGGAGTTACGTTTCTCTTTGTTGCACTGCATAACAATTCAGTATTGGAAAATATAATGTTATTAGGAGCTTCAAAATGTGAAATTTATATTTTGGTATTATTGTGTGTGAGGGCAATGTGCTTGGTTGTACTTGAGGAAATTGTCACCAGGAGGTATAATTATAATTTCTTGAGAGATGAAGATGAAGCCTGATTCTCGAGTGTTGCATGAATTCAGTTTTAGAGGAAAAAATATTCCTCCCGTCTTTATTCTACTTCATTTTTCTTTTTAAATTTTTTTCTCTATTTTACACTGGAAGTTCTTGAATGTTATAGACTTCTTGCACTTATTGGTAGGTATGCAATTGTTGATTGTGTCTTGTTAATAATGTGCACCAGGTGAATGGCTGCGTATCATACTCCGATAAAATTCCAGATGGCTTTTACCTAATTCATGGGATGGATTCCTATGTCTGGACAGTTTGCACTGATCTGCAGGAAAGTGGCCGAATTCCATCAGTTGACATACTAAAGTCTGTGAATCCATGCATAGTTTCGTCACTCGAAGTAGTTTTGGTGGATCGATGCAGTGACCCCAGCTTAAGAGAACTTCAAAATAGAGTTCATGGCATTTCTTGTAGCAGCATAACACCAACAGATGTTGTAGATCATCTTTCCAAGCTGGTTTGCAACCGAATGGGGTGAGCCTACTTGGCATTCCTTGCTTGACCTATGTTTTTTGTCTGGCCATGTCAGTCTAACTGTGTTTTATTGCTATAACAAGGGGTTCAGCTTCTGTTGGGGAAGATGACTTTGTCTCCATCTGGAGGGATTGCAGTAATGATCTGAAAGATTGCTTAGGATCTGTTGTTATTCCTATAGGTAGTCTATCTCTTGGCCTCTGCAGGCATCGTGCTATATTATTCAAAGTAAGGCTCTATTCTGTGGGGGGTTAAGGTTATGATTTTCCATGTTGGTAAAATTGATTTGTTTTTGCTTGCTGGTTTAGTGAATGGGATTGTATTTGAGCTGTTTTTGAAATGACTTATTTTATTTTCAATATTTCAGGTACTAGCTGATGCCATTGATTTACCTTGTCGAATTGCAAAGGGATGTAAATATTGCAAGAGGGATGATGCAACATCTTGTGTTGTTCGATTTGGGCTTGAGAGGTATATGTTTTTAACTTTTTATTGCAAATTACATATGCTTTTTGGTCTATAACTTAGATTGCAACTCTAGCGGAGCTGCAATCTAATGATTAGTTTCAATGAGCTATGTTGGTCGTGGAAATGCAAAATTGTAAAAGGACATTAAGCCATTGGTTTACATTCTGTGAACATTTTGTATGGGGACATTTTAAATAAATGTTCTTAATAATAATATTCCTGATACAGGGAATATCTTGTTGATTTAATTGGAAAGCCAGGAAACTTATCCGAGCCTGATTCCTTGCTCAATGGTCCATCTTCCATCTCATTTTCTTCACCCTTGCGCTTTCCACGACTTAAACCAGCTGAACCTACCATTGATTTCAGGTCACTGGCCAAACAGTATTTCTCGGATTGTATGTCTCTTGAGCTTGTCTTTGACAACAGTTCTGCAGGTGATATTCATATTTCTTTTAATTTATGATATTTTAAATCTGGGTTTGCAGTGGTGTTGTTTTCACATATTGTGAAGAATATGTTAAGGCCTATTTTTGCATTTCTTTGGAATTTAAGATCCAAGTGTTTCAAACATGTTTTTGTTTCCATTCTTTAATGAACGAGGATATTTTTTGGCTTTAAGCTAGTTACTCTCTGACGGGGTTGAGGGCCCAGAGCAGGACCATGTATTGGACTTGGACCCAAAGGGGCTCTAGATTTGGAAGGTTTATACTGGAATTTAGGAAGACAAAAGTGCGTCCTGAGGTTATCCAAGTTGGAAGAGTTAGTTGTGTACTGGTATATATCCTGGATTGGGGGGAGAATAAAACTATCAATTTCTGGTGTTTAATCTCTGGTTCCTAACACTATAATTAATGTTGAAATTATGAGGTTTTTCCAGGTATAGAGCGAGGGAGAAGAGAGACTTTGAATATATTTACTTGTGTAGTATTACAATTGATATGTTGTAATGATATAAAACATAATGCACTATCTTCTATTTATACTACTAGTGCTAGTTAAATTATAGAAACAAATCATGAGATATTAGGAATATGGAAAGTAAAAAAATAAGAAAATATTCTAGGATACAATCTATATTTAAATAATTCTATGATATAATATTGTTATTAGGAACTATGCCATCACTCTCCATCAAGGTAAAGTTAGTTAAGCTTTATGTTTGTTATAAATAAATCCTTTCAAATATCATATGAGCTCCTCCAATAGTCAGGCTTCAGTGATATTTTGGCTTAGTGGACTGCGCATCCCAGACTTGACCAAATTATATTAGAAACTGGCCACGCATTACTCACTTCCAATTACTCACTTCCAAAAGCTAGCACAGGGGAAGAGAGTTGCCCATACTTTATAACGGGAGTTTTGGTCATATTCCTAGCCAGTGTGGGATGTGTTAATGATTAATTTGGTTATCTACCAAACTTGATATGGTCATAAAATGTTTTTTGCAGCTTTCTTATTTTAATTGAACTATCCATTTGTTGTTTTCATAAGCACTAGGATGAGGTTACATAGCAGGCATCTATTTTCTTTTCTCTTTCATATATTCATTCTAATTAGTTGTCGATTTATCTAAACTTGAAAATTGCAAGAATTTGGTTGCCTATTAGAATAAAAAAAAAGAGCGTGATTCTTCACTGTGATGGTTTTGCTATAATATGTCTTCCATGTTGATTATTGTGGATGATTAAGTTGTGCTCTGTATTATGGAATTGGGAGAACAGTCAACAGTTCCACATACTTGGTCGAGTATCAAATTCTTGAAGTATTGGGGTGAACAGGGGTTTAATATAATTTAGTCTGTTTACAGAATGAAATTTGAGCGGCTATTATATTTAATTTGATGTTTGTTAAATTTTTAAGTAGGTCAACTCTGGAATAATTCCAAAAGCATGTTCTTTTTGTAGATGTTCCTGTTGTATGTTGGACATTAGTAGTTTTGAATGTGATCTTGTAATACGGTATGCAATTATGGATGCATGGTTATTTATTATTTAAGTTTAACTAGTTGCAAGTATAGGTTAAGCTAAATTTTGTATCACATGTGCTGTTGCTAATGGAGATTCTGGGTTCTCCATTTCAGAACTGTTTGATGGGAAGTGCAAAGACAGGATTAACCCTAGGCCAATTTCTACCGACAGCAATAGAGTTTCTCACCTTCCTCTGCATCCCCAAGATTCTCATTCAAGCACACAAGATCAAGGTTCTGAAGCATATGTATCATGTAACCCTCCTCAGAACATTGGAGACATGACAACTGTGGGAAAGTATCCACCACCAATAAAGCATAAGCGTCCTGTTGGTATACAAACCCCATTAGCACTTACAAGTTCCAATGACGACATTATTGAGGGCAGGAGGTTTGTTGAAGGAAGTCAACTGATTCCTAACAAATCTACGCGAGAGCTTGCCCTTGACATGGAGGATTTGGACATACCATGGAGTGATCTTATTTTAAGAGAGAAAATAGGGTCAGGTATATATCTCCTCCTTTATTAATTGCAATTTATTGGAAAAAGTCTTGGGGGACAAAAAGAGACATACTATCAAAGAGAGAATAGATTAAAATTAAAACGGATGTTGTCCTTAGTAATGATAGTAGGAAAGAAGAGAACAAGAAAACGAAGCCAGCTTGTTAGTGCCAATAAATATTCCTAATCCATATGCACATGACAGAGTTGTGTTCAAACCTGAACACAATTAATTGCAATAAGTTTATTTATCAGATTTTTCTTTTTTCCAACCAGAATCAACCCAATCACCCGATCAACTTTTCTTTTTTAAATATTTAAATATATAATTTTAGGCTTTAGTATATATAGACTTTTCCTTTAGTTTTGCCTTCTCCCACTTTCTTTTGACTTTCTTATCTAATATTATTAAATGTCTTTTGTCATGTTTATTATCCAACTTCTTTATGATATTCTAGGCAATGAAGAGTAATGATCTAGATATATAAAATTATAATTGTGCAAAAAGTTATATATTAATTGAAAATAATATTAATGTTTGAAGTTGATTTAATTGTTGTCTAAAGTTATTGAAGAATGAAAAATCTTTTTATTTTATAGTAATCTTAAATTTAAAATTTCACATAATAAACAATACACGAGAGTAAAAACTAAATTATAATAATTTATTTTTAACCCTAACGGATGACCTGGACCAATTGGTTCTGATTAGCTGAAAAGATTTAAAAAAACTGAACCAAACCAAACCAACCCAACCCAGTTAAAATTGATCGGTTTGGATTTTAATTTACCCTAAACTCAAATTGAACTGACATGTGAACAGTCAGCCTAGACAGGGAGGTTTCATTAAAGAATTCATGGTTGGAGCACCAAAGCGAAATCATAAAATTTTACATCCAATCACATATACCACTGGAAAAATACCTCACCATGGTAAAATTTTGCTTGCTTCTACCATGCCCTCTAAAGTTGTGCAATAAAATCTGATCCTAATTATTTAATTAATCTGTTACCTAACTCAATCTTCTTCTAGTGGCATATGATTTGTGTAATTAGTTTTGGTAGTCATTAACAAAAAATAACCTGTCATATTTCAGGTTCTTTTGGAACTGTACATCGTGCTGAGTGGAATGGCTCGGTAAGCCAATCCTTTTCTTTAATTATTTTTCAAATTTATTCTGTCTAAATTGATCAACTTATGGTTGTTTGAATTGTTTCTGTTGAAATTTTATTGAATGAATGGAAAATGAGAAGAGCGTAATGAGATGTTGAATAGTTGATAAATTGTGATATGAAGCTCTGACCCTTGACTCCTATTTATGCCAATACTTGACTCCTATTTATACCAATACTTTATGCCAACGACAACTGTAGTATAACTATACAAGTGGACAAGTCTAGCCCAATGTTACCCCTAACATAACATTACTAATAATAATCCTAATAAGCGCAGCTCAATGTAAATCCAAACCCGGTTATTGTTACACTGATTTACAATGATGACTGCATTACAATTGGATACCAGGAGTATATTTGAAAGTTTTCATCCTCCACGAGAGTAGATATTTGATTGAACCATTTCCATCAAACATTTTTTTTTTCTGTAAACAAATGGAGCCTTAATGTTACAAAATTGGCATATCTTTAAGGCATTTATGTTTCTCCAATTCTGTGTTTTCAAGTTTTTTAAGCTGTAGTTGTCTTATCATTTGGAATGCAATGTTGTGGCATATACATCTTCTGAGAGGATTGTGAAACTTCGGGATTTCTTCAGTTTAAAACAGAAATAGTGCTTCATACACGCGCGCATTTATTTTTCTGCTTTTACATCCTTTGATAATTGCAGGATGTTGCTGTGAAAATTTTGATGGAACAAGATTTTCATGCCGAACGCTTCAAGGAATTCTTGAGGGAGGTAAGCTCAAAAGTTCTAACCATGTTTTATGCAGAGAAAGCAGAGAAAGTACCAATTGCTTTTTAGATATTTGTGTGCTGTTTATTTGAGCTGTATTTTCACTTCTCTTGCAAGGTTGCAATAATGAAACGTTTGCGGCATCCAAATATTGTATTGTTTATGGGGGCAGTCACTCAGCCTCCTAACTTATCAATTGTCACGGAATACTTATCAAGGTTGTCCTCCTCTACCTGTTTCACTATTTACCCCTAAAAGAGGGCAGTTTTTCAAGGTTATTTGATATTAGATATTAAGAGTTCTTTGACTAAGTGCAGGGGTAGCTTATATAGGTTGTTGCATAGATCTGGTGCCAAAGAGGGGTTGGATGAGAGGCGTAGGCTTGGTATGGCTTATGATGTGGTATGTATTTGGAAAATAAACATTATTGCTTCTTGTTTGTATTTTTTGAATTTGTGATGTCAAAATCTTGGTATTCTTTGATCAACCAAATGTCATTTTATCAATTGCAGGCAAAGGGGATGAATTATCTTCATAAACGCAATCCCCCCATTGTCCATAGAGATCTAAAATCTCCAAACCTTCTCGTTGACAAGAAATATACGGTGAAGGTAAATATAAAGATTCTCTAGTATGCTGACTAGTCTTAGGAGTTTCATATATTTATAAAGGTCATTTGTCACCCATGGCTGTAGGATTTCACTTCATTTTTCATTTCTAGCTCTTGCAAATAATAGCCTTGTACTGATACAAGCCTATAAACCAAGATTCACCTCCTTTTTGTTCTAGCATGGCTTTAAAGTTGTAGGCTGTTATATAATATGAAAGTTCTTTCTGGCTTGTCTAGAAAGGTGAAGCTAAATGAATAAACTATTGATTTAATTGATTTTTCTTTAAACAGTAATTGATACTTTTTAATGGTACATTTAAGTAATGATTTGTAGTTTTATTGGATATGGAACTATTTGAGGTTATTGCAAAACTTGCTCTACTGTCTACATTGATAAAATTTTCAGCTTTCTGCTGATTAGCTGTGTTTGTTTTGGAATGTTGTTGGAAAGCCATTTAACATGAAAATAACATTTCCAAAGTGTTAGTAACACACTTTTTTTTTGGGTTGGGAAGGGGCTGGTAATCTGTTTTCTTGGACATTAATGGAGTTTTTCACCCATAAAATAATGCCTTTTAGGTTTGTGATTTTGGGCTTTCACGTCTGAAGGCCAATACATTTCTCTCGTCCAAGTCAGCTGCTGGGACTGTAAGTTTATATTGACTGCAGATATTTCCGTTTTGTACTTCTTATGTTTCAGAGGTTTTATAACTACATATTTAAATTTTTTCCTTTTCCTTCCTTAGCCTGAGTGGATGGCTCCAGAAGTTCTGCGTGATGAGCCATCAAATGAGAAGTCTGATGTGTACAGCTTTGGTGTAATCTTATGGGAGCTTGCAACGTTGCAACAGCCATGGATTAATTTAAATCCAGCACAGGTTTGTTGTATACCTGTGATACAGGATATTGCTTTATATTTATGCTTAAGGTTTTTATTGTAATTATATTATTTCAGCTTTATGAGATTTATGATATGAAACTAATGATCATAAGAATATAGAATATAGTATGAAATTAAAGTAGCATGCAGCTGGTGATATAAATCTGAAAATGATTGCAAGAACCTATATATGTATGTATGCAAGAAATGTATATTGGTCAAAGCATGTGTCTAACAAACCAGTGATAATGGGTATATGGTTGAAGGTTTAAGGTTGTGGCTGAGTATTTTTGACTGAGTGGTATTCTTTATCGCTTTGATCTATCATTGACTTATCATGGTTACTTTGGTTAAATTTTCATGCATAATATAGTTAGACCTTTGGCCCAAGTTTATTCTAAAAGAGGAAGGGGTCTAATGGGCTGCAGGTGCATGAAAGGAGGAAATAAGGGGTAGATTCTGTTAGAGAAGAGAAAGTTGTGACCAGCTGTTATACTAGGACTGAATAAGAGAATAATTAGGTAGTCTTTATTTTTAAAATTAAAGTAATTTGGTCCTACCAGCACTTTTCTTTTACTTTGAAGTTTCATTCTCTACTCAAAATGTTTACAAATTGAACTGATTAAACTATTATAGACCTAATGCTCAAAACATACTAACCAAAACATCAAATTTTATCCAAATAAAAATCTCAAAATTTTCCCGCAAGTCCTAATTTTTACATACTATAAAATCTTTCAAATTTATCAAATTTTTACTAACTATGTTTGGAATAAAGGAAATAAAAAACGAGGGAAAAGAGAATTCTGAAATTTAAATTGAAGAGAAAAGAAGAGAAAATTTTGAATTTTTATTCCTGAAAGTCAACTTCTCTCTCATTTTTCTCTTTTATTTTTTTCTCTTCAACCAAACAAGAGAAAATGTCTCATTATGTGTGTTTTATGTCTTCTTTATTTTCTTTCCACCTTTGAAATAAACCATAAATTTCTGATTTCTAAACTTTTAAAATTCTTTCATATCCCAAATGTTCAGATAGAAAATAATAATGTGAGGGGGGTTTTAAGTAGCAAGAAATTGATGGCAGGACCACATTTCTTAAGTTTAAAAATAGAAAAACTTATTTCACTCAAAAAAAACTTTAGAGACTGAAATTGCACGCAGCCTAGACTAAAGGGATCAAAAGTGGTGTTAGCCTAAAAGAATTCTGGTATCACACCTAAAGAGAAAGAAGAGGAAAAATAAAGTGACAGAAGGAAAGGAGAGAGGCACTTGAGGTCCCGGGTGAGGGGGGGGGATTTTATTTTTCTTCTGATTTTCAGTGCAATTAAGGCTCCTCTTTTGTAAGGAGGTAGACTACATTTTCTTTTCACACACTAAGTTTCTACCACATTTATTTATTTTACTTAATATTCAAAAATGCACGTTGTCCTGTAGGTTGTGGCTGCTGTTGGATTTAAGGGAAAAAGGCTTGAGATCCCACATGATATAAATCCCCAAGTTGCTGCATTAATTGATGCTTGCTGGGCCAAGTGAGTTCATAAAATTTTGTTGATGTATTTCGCTTCCATATTGTGTCATAAAATTTTGTTGATGTACTTGGTCTGTTACAGTGAGCCCTGGAAACGCCCTTCTTTTGCAAATATTATGGATTCTTTGAGGTCATTGCTCAAACCCCCTACACCTCAACCTGGTCGTCCAAACATGCCACTGTGAGACCTGAATGGCTGGAACACCAAGTTGTTATTCATGCACATATGACAGGATTTTATTGGTCTTGATGTCTAACAGGATTACACTGTTTTAGTTGCACTAGGTACGTGCCAAATTCCATAATAGTCTTCTTGCCAGCACTAGATCTAGCTTGGGCGTAGTATTTCTCACTTTTTTTTTTGTCTTTTATTTTCTAGCGGAGATTTGATCTTCGCATTATTATAACTGGAGGTTGGAACGTACCCAAGCTTTGGTTAAAATAAGTTATAATCTGCTTGAATCGCAGTTACAACTCAGTAAAAGCTTTAATGTGTTACATGTTTTCATTATTGTGTCCCTGATGATTGTGGCTTATTGCATATCTATCCTCTTTTGGTCAAACTAATGCTGCTTCATGTTTTTTGGCTGCAGAGTCAATTGTATATTTCTTTAATTCAGGTTTAAGAATACTGATTTCCGACGCAGAGCAAGGATACTTCATCTTTGTTGTTCCAACAAAATTGTTTGATTAGGCGATCTTGTAATTTCACCAAGAAATGTTTTATTTTTCTTTCATAATTTTGTATGTAAAAATCATTCCCATTGTAATTACATTCAGTAAATGATAAGCAGCTTTACCGGCGGTGTACATCCTGTATTTTTCTGCCTGCTTGGATTCGTTGATTCCATTAGTCAATTGAGTTTCACGGTGACGCTTTCATTCGCTGCCTTTTAGAGATTGTTTACATCTGAATCAACCATTCCATAATTGATAAAATCCCTTCAAACCAAATGGTCCCCCCCCCCCCCCCAACATCTGACATTTGTTTTTAGATAAAAGGCTAAAAGCTATTTTGTTGACACTACAAAGTACTCCCAATTAACGGTTGTCATTTTATAATATTGAAATTAAATCCCCATATAGTGTAATAATTTTAAATAAAATTCATTTTACACTAAAGTGATGCATAAAGAAAATATTTGCTAATATGCAGCTAATGTTTATTTCATTTTTCGTTAGGTACATGAGATGGACGAAGCCCAAACAACTTAAACAGTAGGGGGTGGGGAATAGAATATAGATCAGTTGAACAGCTTGAAGCAAAAGATCAGCAATGGAAGGGTAGGCATAGACACTCACGTGCTTGTTCTCAAATCCGACACTGATTACCCATCCCTTGAGTGACTTATTCGAAATATTATGAACATATAAAAAAAAAAAAACGATTTTCAAATTTTTTTTAAAAAAAAAGTCAAAGTGATAGATACACCGGAGATAAAATATTGATGAAAAAGTACAACATTTGGCCTAGAGTTACTTTTTAAATGTTTTGTTGTTGATATAACTATCAAAATACGTTAACTCAGTTCACCCAAGTTGGCTTATAACAGATCGAGTTCAATAGTGAATCAACTTAACATAACTCACTTTTGAATTGAGCTATAAAAATGCTAACTCGGTTTAATTCATCAACCCAGCACCAAGTAATAATAATAATAAATGATTGAAATAGAGATTTAAACACAATAGACTAATTTGATTTGGATAAATATCTTAATCTTTTAGAGTTATATTGATAATAAAATAGTAATTTAAATTAAAATTCACAAGTTGACTTAGCGTAGGCTGACCAGTATAACAGGTGAGTTAGGTGAGCTGAGTAAAAATAAAATTCGAGTACAAACTCATGCATCTAAAACTCACCGCATACTGAATTAACTCACTACCTATGACCCAGTTTGACAATTAAAGTTGTTTGTATTTTAATCCACAACCTTCTTTACATTGGATTTGAACAAATTCACATTTATGTAAATCTTGCACGTTAACAAAATTTTAAAAAATCGACGCAGCAGCTAAATACAGCAAAGAATGTGGTGTGATTTTAAATTTTGCTCTACAGAATGAGGAATATGTTGGATCGAATTTTCCATTGGTAAATCTTAAATCCTGTTTGTATTCTCGTTAGGAATGTCATTCATCAAACGAACTTCTTTTTACTTTGAAAAAAAAAAAACCACGCAATAGAGTTTTAAAAATCATAAAACGATTTTTTTGTCGCTTATATTGTCATTTTATGTACTGAGATACTTTAATAAACTCTTCTCTAAATTCTTCAATCAGTTGATGTAAGATACTAAGAAAAAGGAAAAACCCACCCGCACAAGGAGTGTTACAAAAACAAAACAAAAAATCTGCTTAACAGTACTTTATGTCCAAAGAATAAACCCTAAAAAATCGCTACTTTCTAATTTATTTTGTGACCATAATAATTATTTTCTAATAAATTAAAATCTCTTAGGCCCACGAAAATCCTCAGAAAAAGACAAGACAACTCAAAACCGAAAACGAAAAGCAAGTTTACTGGTTCGTGATTGGATGGCATACTTACCTTGGCCACTAAGTATTTAGACTTGGCCACAAGAGAAAACAGAACAAGTCACACTCAATCTCGCGACAAACTAGAAAATCCAACCCAACAGAACAGTTTGTGTGACAAAAAATATCTAAGCTCACACGTGGTCCCAAACAACCATGAAATTAACCAGCCCCAGTTGCAACTTGCAAACCAACCAACGTAACTGCCAGGAAACAACCTCAAATCAAAGTCGGCACTTGAAGCACTCACTGTGCAACCCCACCAATGGCCCTTCTCTGCCACCGCCATCGTTCAATAGTCTCAACCCTCCACCGCCCTTCCACCCTTTTAATATCACAATTCTCACAGCTTCCACTACCTTACCCCATCCTCTTACCCTCCAAAATCCAAACCTTTGTTTCTCACAATGAACCCAAACGATGATAACTCTCCCAAACTCTCATCACCCTTCAATGATTCCGCTCCCACGGAGCTTGAAGGGTCGTCAATGGCGCCGCAGCCACTGGAGATTTTGCAAATGAGCCCTGTTCCGCCGTTTCTGACCAAGACTTTCGACTTGGTGGATGACCCGTTTCTCGATCCGATTATCTCGTGGGGCTCCAATGGTGGGAGCTTCGTGGTGTGGGACCCTCTTGAGTTTTCGAGACTCGTTTTGCCTCGCCATTTCAAGCACAACAATTTCTCCAGCTTCGTTCGCCAGCTTAATACTTATGTGGGTATTGCTTTGCTTTGCTTTCACGCTGCCCTTCATGGCTCCTTTCATCTTTATGTAACTTTATTTGTGTATTTTTTGGGTCTGTACATATGTAAGGGTTTTTTTTTTTTTTGGTTGGATGTTTTTGTAATTTAGTTTGGTGGAGAGCGGGTTTGTTAATGTCTGTATTTTGATTGAACAATTTGATGTATCTAATGGGAGTGTTTGAAAATTTGAGGCATTTTGCTGGTGTATACTTAGTTGAATCATCATATTGTAATTGCTAATTTGATATCTTTAGGTGTATTGTTTGTGTCCTGTTTTTTTTTTTTTTTTTTTTTTTTTTTTTTTGTTAGGCCTATTACTAATGTAGTTGAGTAATAAGAATATGGTTCAGGTGTTTGTTGATTGCTTGTAGTTAGGGTTGAGACATGAGAGACTACTACTACTGGAACTGGCAACAGGAGGAATATTCCCCCCTCCAATAGAAGGGATTTCATCTTCCCCAGGTAGTACTCAGGGTTCTGAGTGGTGTTTGTGTCATCTTGACTTTTACTTGTGTCTGTGAAAAAGTTTGTTTTGGATTCATTGATTGCATTCTCCCATAGAACTAATTGGGGTACCTAAACCATATCTTGTTTTGCTTTGCTAATATTTCTTCCCCTTTTCCTCCTCGTTGTCCTTGCCTTGGGGCCTTGTTTTTATGCTCCATTCATTCTCAGGTAACTTGGTCTTTGTCTCCAGGGATTCCGCAAGATTGACGCCGACAAGTGGGAGTTTTTTAATGAAGCTTTTCAGAGAGGGAAGAAGCACTTACTGAAGAACATCCAACGGCGCAGGTCAACTCAATCCCAGCAGGTTGGAAGCTACATTGGATTTTCTACTGATGCTGGGAAGTCTGGAGTTGAGGTTGAGATAGAAAAGCTTAGGAAGGAGAGAAGTATGTTAATGCAAGAGGTGGTTGATTTGCAGCAACAACAGCGAAAAACGGTTCACCATGCAGGAGAAGTGAATCAAAGGCTCCAATCTGCAGAACAAAGGCAGAAACAAATGGTTTCTTTCTTGGCTAAGTTGTTCCAAAACCCAGCCTTTTTAGCGCGCCTTAAGCATAAGAAGGATCCGAGAGAAATAGATTCTCCAAGAGTGATAAGAAAGTTTGTCAAGCAGCAACAACATGAAACAGGAACAGCTGAAACTTCCAATGATGGGCAGATAGTGAGGTACCAACCTGATTGGAGAAATATAGCCATGTCTTCTGAAACTCAAGAACCAAGTCCAGTTTCCATTGAGCAGTCCCCTAACTACCTTTCACAGGGTTTGGCAGGAGAAATGAGTGTAGGGGCAGAAGATTTTACTGCTGAGATTGAGAACATTGTATCAGATGATTTTGCTGCAGTGCACGGGATCATGTCGTCTCCAGAAATCATTGGAGAAGTATCATCTAGCCTTGGACCTGAAGACACCCTTTTCAGAGGGAAAAGTGTTGTGAGCCCAAATCTTGAAATTCCTTCAGAATATTTTGCTTCCTTCCCTGAGGTTTTGACTAAGGAAAAAGGCTTTCTTGAGTTTTCTGCCCTTGGAACTGAAGGCATTGTCAATCAAGAAGATATATGGAACCCTGGCTTCAATGTTAGTGGTGCTGCTTCATGCTCTGGGAATGAGATGTGGTGCAATCCTATCAATTATGAAGCTCCAGAATTTGGAGTCACAAGTGATATGTGTGAGTCAGACATGTGGGATATTGGCTCAGGAAGTTGGGGTATTGATGCATGGCCAGCTGATGAACCTTCTCTTGGTGAAACAGATGGTCAAGCTGGTCAACCAAAAGATGATAGGCCTAAGAATGTTGATCCATAGGGGCTTCATCTGCTCCTCCACTTGTTGCCCTTGGGTACTTGCTATGTTTGTGGTTCCTAGGGGTTATATTATGCATAATTTAATTTATAAACAGTATTCATTCACCTGCTTTCATTGTTTGTTCACTTCACTTCCCAATTTTTTTATTCTTTTGGATTAATTCAATGATTGTCCATATTTTTCTTTGTAAATTGTAATCGTGTAATTATTGGCAACTTCCATTCATGTAAATTATATTTTTCCTTTCGCCTGATGAATGATTTAAGTAAACATTCACAGGTCTGTACCAAACAAGGTAAGTATCATTAAACAACTGTTTTGAACTTGTTTTTCTCTGAAATGCCCTCTGTTGCAAATAATCCTCAATTGCTGATGTAAGTGGTAAGCTGTGCTGTTTAAATTAATTGGCTAATCTCTCTTTTTTTTCCCTTCTCTACGCGTATGTTTTATGTAAGAGGTTGTTTGTTTATGCTTCCTCTGTTTATCATTATACTCTTATTTGTTTTATTGTACTAATATTCTACACACGATTATAAGGAGTCTGTTTAGCTGAGTTTTTTATAATATTGATGTTGATAGAAATGATTTGAAGTAATTTATGTTAAAAAACGATAATGAAATTATAAAAGCATTTGGAAGACTTTTTTTTAAAAAAAATATGATAGAGTCATTTTTTATTAGTAGATGTATGCCTGTTAGAAATTTTATAGTACTTGTTTGGATATCATTTTGACCAATATAATATGAATTGCGAGACAAAAATTAATGGCACACATTATTTGTGGCATGGATTGCGCGACAAATCTAATGGCAATAAGAATTTTTGCGGCGACTGATTTAGTTTCACCACCCTAACAAACAAATTCATATAATAAAAGTTTAAATATATTTGGATTTTTAGTAAATATTTAATTTTAGTCCCCTTAAACCTTTTTATTTTTTATTTCAACAATTTTTTTATTTTTTTTTTCAGTTTCTATTAAGAAGCTATGCATCAATTTGTTGTTAGATTACATCAACGATAGGGACTAAAATAGAAAATTAATAAAAATATAAACAAAAATACTTTAGGATAAAAACAAAAAAATTACTAAAATGGAAGGATTAAAAATACACTTAAGACTAATCAATTTTACTTATTGGAAAAATTAAAAATGTATGATTCTCTCAATCATGCACACTAACATTCGAAAATTACCCAAATAGAACTTTTAATGTTAAAATCAATATGTTTCGTTAGAAACTTGATTTCTTGGCAAAAAAAAAAAAATCAGGATAAATTGAAAGCTCAGATACGTTCTTACCAAGAATTTAAGGAGCAAAAGGTAAAGGCGCAAAATTCATATAAAATCACCGATGAGTATTAGTTTATGGGGTACATAATGGATTTTTCTCAAGAAAAGTCTCAAGTTGGTCAAGTCACCTATAGAAGATACTAGAAATGTAATAATCTAGTTCAAGATCTGGGACACGAGAACTTGTTGAATGAAATCTTCCGTTGGTATCCGTCTGGAGATTCTGTTTCTAACTTTAGGCTTTTGGTTCGTTCCCTCTTCCCAATATTTCTTGACATTTGTTGATAGAAGGCGCTTTCTTTTGTAATTTCCGTCTCTGTAATCATCACTGCTATATGTTGTTGATGGCAAGTCTCTTTGCCTTGTAACGTGTCAAATCTTCGGTAGAGGGTAAGTAGTTAGGTATTAGTTGTGCCGCGTTTAGAATACATGTCCTCAATACATTTCACGTTTTCATATATTACAAGTGATGCTCGTCCGGGTTCAACTCCCAAATCCTAATTTTTTTAGCGGTGTTAAAGAAACATGCCTTAATCATGAGAACTGAGCAAAAGTTAAAAGAGCAATCAACTAATTTAGCATAAGTATTGATATATTCTCACCATAATTTTAAATGCACACACATCGAAGTATTTTTTGATAATTTATTAATTCCTTAACTACACATTCTTTTCATGACGTCCTCTTCGTCATAGAGACTCCATAGCAAGAAGGTTCAGCTTTGGGGAAGAAACAGAAGGTGGAGAAGCCAATGGTTGAATCAATAAATGATATGTTGGAGACGCAATAAGTTAGGGCAAGGAAGGATGAACTGATAAAGGATAGAAATAATTACATGCATTTTGTTGAAAAAAAGTAAATATATCATAGATACTGATTCATGGCCACGCGGGCGGGCAGTACACCCACATGAGACTTGTTTTCATTTTCATTGGTATTCATGCCATGCCATATGCTACAGCCTACAAACAGCTCTTTGTTACTCTTTTGGAGGCATCAGCATGGAATCAACCACAACACATTACCATACCCGCCTATTCTCCCCCTTTGGAATCTTTTACTCCTAGGTCTTCTGTCACGTCAGAAATTTGAACTAAAATTTTAAATTTCTTGTGATCAAGACCTGGGCAAACAAGCAGTATTATGAGATCATAACTTTTTTTCTTTTCAAAATAAGACTACATCTTGTAATTTTTACGAGCTTTGGGGGAATCATATTCAGATATCCATGTGAAAGCCTTGGGTGATTAATCATCCATATGAGGCTTAAAAGTTGACAAAGTAAATATCTAGCATCTCTATGTTCAAAACACGGACCCAAAACGAGGAGGGGGGAAGGGGCAAAATCAACATGACTGTCTATAAATACTATTGCAAAACTCCAGTTATAATACTATTATCCATTTTATTATCCAAGGATACAAATTGGAAAAACAAAAGCCGCACAAACCCAATTTAACCAAGGAAGTTCATGATCACCAAATGAAGCACCAGATTGCAGAGAACAAAATCTGCAAAAGCACGCTCGGGTGCAAGATCCTGCAGCAGGATGGAAAGTCAAAAGTGAGAAACCAATATACAGATAACTTGTAAATTCATTTCCTTCTTGCTTTGTTTTGTCAGGGTATAAATGCAGTGATCTAAGTTTGAAACTAAATCTTGCTAGATTGTTGAAATAACATGAGAATAAAACAAAAAATGCAAAACTAAATATATTATCGGCTGCAACTCACATGGGTTAATTGCAGGTTTCAATTTCATAAATCAAATCAAAGATAAAAAAAGAGATGAGAAAAGAATTTTACCTTGAATTCCTTATTCTCTTTATTCACTTGGATCCGGAGACAAACTGGTCCAAAATGAAGGAGGATAACAATGATAAGAAAGACAAGAACAAGATTTATGCTTAACTACCTATCAGGTTTAGATGTCTCATACCATGCATATAAATCTAGAAGGCTTAGAAGTCTCATAGTGTACTGATATATATTCATATGAGTATATAAATATGCATAACTAGTTTGCCTGCAAAATGTAATTGACCTTTGCATACTTACCAGCCAGAACTGCAGTTCCTACACAAGAAAGCACTCCCGACAGGAAAGAGTTAAAAGGAAATGATCCCACCAAAGCCATGTAAACTACCTGTTCATTAAAAAGTATCAGCAAAAGCAAGAAACTTTAACACACGTGTCTCAGCAACCAAGAACCTTAAGAAAAAAATTCGCTCGTACATTTTTATTTTAACTTTGAACAAGGAGATCATTAAACTAGAAACTGAAAGAATATTCAATAAACAATATTACAAATTTCTGGAGGCACTTCCTTGATTCTAACTCTGTTTCTATCACTAAACAGCTGTGCTAGAATAGCTAAGGCAAGAACTGGCTTATATCAATCTGTTTTAGTGGGGGGTTTTAGTCCATCCTCTAAGCTGCACACACGAGACCAAAACAAAGGCAATCCTCATCTAAAAGGTTACAAAATATGAAAATTTTGTGACAACAACACATTTGAGATCTTGTATTCCTATAGGCAATCAAATTCTGCTTCTATATTCAGTAAACACAGGTCAAAGGTAACCAAATTCCCAACCTCATTCTACCATTAAGCAGATCAAGAAATAACCAAATAGAAATCACAAAAACAGTTCCAATAAAACAATACTTCCCAAAAATCAATAGAGAGTATAGGGTTTTAGAGACATCAGATTTTCTGAGTTCTGAATTCAAGGGTTTTCCCTTGAAAACACTAGTTGTTTCCAAATATCAAGATAACATGCCCAATAACAGCATAAAGCTCAAATCCAGACCATTGCACTTGTACAATCGATAAACAATCCATTGAAACAAACAAAGGGTTGGTAACTAACTGAAAATTGACATTAGAATATGCAATTTAGAGGTAAAAAGAGAAATGCAGCGAAAATACCTGAATGAGAGCGGTGAAGACAGCGTAAACGACGTAGATATCAATGATCTGAAAGAAGAGTAAAAGTGGGGTTAAGAAAAAGAGAAGAAATTTGGAGAAAAAGAGAAGGAATGAAAGAGAGAAGGGACCTTGAGATTTGTTGGGGTTGCAGAATATGCAGACCAAAGTGCACGGAAGAGGTCATGGGCATCCTTGCTGCTAGATCGACCCATTCTCTGTCAGATCTTAATTTCCCAATTTACAAACCCTCTTTTCCTCTATTCCGTTCTACACCCTTTTCAGCTTCAACTCGTCTTCTATTTTGCTTTTGTCAAGATCTTTAACTGGTCTTCAAGTCTTCAACACATCAGCAACAATTTTTTTTGGTAGGATCTAAAGTATATAAAAGCCCAAAAGGCAAGAGGCCCAGAGGCTATATAAACTTGGAGAGGCAAATAGATGCCCAAAACTCTTTTCTTAACCTTAGTTATTGTTTTTGGACAAAAAAAACACTAATTACTTTATTGAATTTTTTAAAAAGTAACTTTAATTCTTCTTGTATAACTATATCTAAAACAAAGTTCTATTCCAACGTTGATCTCAATTGATTTCATCTAATTGCCAAACATTTTGGTGGTAAAATTGAAACATCAATTATCAATTTCTTTCGTGAACGTTAATGTATCATACGTACTTGTTAAAAAAAAATGGAGATAAGTTGATATCAATAATGAACTTGAATGATGTCTTTGTACTCATAACTAATTTTTATTATGATAAGGATGAACTTGAAGTGTTTGGTAAATATTAGGGACAAATTTAGTGATTCACTCCTATTTGTGTTTATTCAGTTGAAATTAAGGCAATGTGAATTTGGCATTTTGGATTAGGTAGATAAGTTGAACTCTATTTTTCACTTATGTTAGTTTTTTTAGTGATTTTGTGTCTCGTGTTTCAGCCTTCTAACATTGTGAAAGAAGTTTAAAAAAGAGATTTTTCTCTGCACAATTTAGAACCACAAAAAAGGAGAAATTTTTTTTGGTCTAAGATTATATGGTCTCAATCACTTATGTGGGTGACACGTATGCATTTTTTTCATAAATTATAAAATTAACATATGATACAATATGAGTGACCGATATCATATTGTCTCAGAATATCTAATAATTTTCCCACACTAGTATAAGGCAGCAGGAAATCATAAGTTGACTTTGGAGTGTTATACCTGCAGACACAGCAAGACATGGGTTTTGCCTTTTTTGTTCTTTTTTGTATTTTTTTTTTTTTAACGATGAGATTCGGAGTATTTTGGCTTTGGTTTTGCCCATATATGCTGTGAATAAAGTTGATGGCAGTGTTGAATGTTAAAGTAATAATCCTTAACCATGTTTTGATCTCTTCTTTCTTGCTTTTGTTCCCATAGCTCATGTCACATCGGTTCATATTGGGAAAAATAAAAGGACCATGTTCTATAAATGATTCTGTTAGTTTTTTTATGACAAAAAAAACTACAATCCTGGTACTCCTAATTTGATCCCGTTAAAGATGTCAAAGGCAATATTAGATTTTTGTTTTGACTTGCTCAAATGTTTTGGAATCTCTTAGAAAATTAAACATATCAAAACCCAAAAATGTTGCCAAAAGTGAAGATCTAACAAGCATGCTTTCATGAATTGTAACGAGAGAAATTGAAAGTGCAATTCTTCATTTTGATACGGGCAATTTCTTTTCCATCAATCGGTTATATAATTTGTACTTGCACACTTTTTATATATGCTTGTTCAGTTGATTTAATATTTTTTTTTATTACTTTACAAAACAAAACTCTATTTTTTTTAATTATCTGGCTATAAATTCTATAAAAATATTTAGATGTTTATAAATATTTATAATTCTTGCAATAGAAATATTAAATTTTTTAATTAACTCCATATTTACGTTACTTATTAATGCTACTTCTTTTACTGTATTATTTTTTTTTTATTCTCTTCTTTCTCGTTTTACATTAATTATTAATAAAAGAGATTTTTTTTATTTCTCTTCCTCTTGTTTTTCCTATTTTTCTTTTAAGTCTTCTTTTTTTATATTTGTTACATGTTTAATATGTTTATCTTACAATATTGTATTGCTATTTTATATTGCAAATTATATTATATTGCTATTTTACATATTTTACACTTGCCGCAAAATATATTATTTATATTAATTGTATAATAAATTGTTTAATAATTTTTTTAAATTGTTAGATCTCAGTAAATATTTGAAATTAATTCAAGAACTATTGAGAGTACAAAAGAAACAAAAAAGAAAAAAATAGTGCTAGATGCAAGAGAGTGTTAAAGACACAGTAAAAAGTATATTTTTGAGGTAATTATACCATGAGACTGATAAAAATTGTTATAAAAAATTACTTATTTTCCATGTAAGCGTGGAAAAATCTATTGTAATTAGGGATAAAAATAAGTCAGGCCGTTTAAGAAGAGCCTACAATCTAGCCTATTTAATTAATAGGCTAGACTTGAGCTTAAGAAAAAACCTATTAGACCTGTCATGATGGCCTATTTAAAATTTATAATAATATATTAAATACTTTCATATAAAAATTATAATATAATAATAATTAAATCAATTAAATTTTAAAATAATTAAATCTTAAATTAAAAACTCTAATCCTTTAAATTATATTTTAATTTGTTGTATTTGCTAAATTTTAAGTCTAAAATTTATTTAATTATATTATGTTTGTTGATTTAATGTGTAAGACTTTATGCTACTAGATTTGTTTAATGATTTATAAATTAATATTCATTTTATTTTATTTTTTTGTATGTGTAGTGATTTACTTATTTAAATTAAATATGTGATTTGAAAGTGATAAATAAAAATATGTAATTTTATTATACGTGTTCAAGGTATTAAATTTTTTTTTAATAGTTCATTTAGATATAAGCCTTATAATTTTTAAAAGACATATCTATTTAGATAATTTAATAACCTGTTTATAAGGAAGCTTAATGATTTATTAAATATTTCAATACCAAGTAGGCCTTTAAATAGGCTAATAGGCCAAATCAGACTTTTAAAAAAGTCAAGTTAGGCTTCATAAAAAGCTTATAACAAGTAATAAGTTAGCTTCAAACTTTAAAATTATTAAATAAGTTAAGTCTATTTATGCAAAGTCTAGTCTATTTTCATCTCTAATTGCATTGTTTCTACTTATTTTAGCTCATAACCTCAAAACGAAAGTTATAAAGAACACTTATATTCAATTTCTATTTTTAATTTTGAGAATTAAATTATATTTGTAACTATTCGTATACTTTCATTTAATTTATGAAAAAGATAGTTTATAACATAATATTAAATTTTAATGATAAATTAAACATAAAAAATAAATTTATCGTGTTATGATTTTTGAAAAAAAATATTAAGTTATCATCTTTAACAATTTATTTAATAATCATTTTATATTTTTAATTAACATTATTTTTGAAAAAGTTATTTTAAAAAAAATTAATTAAAAATTGAATTACTTTTTAAAAATTTAGATCTTACCTACACTATAGAATTTGATTTCAACTTAGAATTTTAATTATATATTTTAATTCTTTGAGTATACCAAACGTAGAATTGTGATTCTGAAAAATTTATAATTCCGATAGAATTGGAATTGAAATTACGAATATCAATTCTTATTTCATGCACCAAATGAGCCTTAAAGGATATTTTAATATTTTTTATATATAATTTTTTATCTTAATTTCAATTTTTTTTATCTTCTTATAGATTATCGGAATAATTTGTTGGTTGTACAAACCAACTACTTTGCCATGACTTTTAAGACATATTGGTCAGGAATACTTTTAACAATCAATTGATAGTCATCTACGAACATATATGACACAAATTAAGCTCTCAAGTATTTGGCTTTGTATAATCTAAACATCCTACTTCAGGTAATGTTTATATGCATTTCATTATCTTGAAACTGGTATTACTGAGTTGCATCTTTGACAGTGCACTTCAATCACAACGTCTTCAGATAATAAAATCTGCTTTTGTATGGGCTAATAGCTTCTGCATTAACGTGATATTAAAACATTTATATGCGATTCCAAACTTGGTACTCATATATACGGAAAGGAGAGTGGATGATTTTTAGTACAAACATACAAGAAACCTGAATGGAGATTTAAAAAGTGATATTGATTCAAACGTTCATTACTTCACTACAGCCCCCTTTCTTTTCCAACCTATTTTCTTACACCTTGAATATAATCCAAAACATATATGGTTTCCCCAGAGGAATCAGAATATAAGTAGAACGTTAAGTGGGAAACTGTTCCACTATGCAAAACTGCGGGAGAATGGGTTAAGGTCCAGTGTATCTGGGTCCGTATGAAAACATCCAAATTTTAAAATAACATAAGTTAAATTGGAGATAGGCGCTGCAAACAATAAAATGCTATAATATAACACTACCTAATTAGAAACGGGAGAAATCCATCTAAATTTTGAACATAAAGTAATTTACTAACAGAAATTACGACTCATGGTTCATGGAACTAGTTGATACAGGTCATTTTGATATGGCAAAATTTGAAGAAGAAAAATTATACTAAAAATAAAATGATGACAAAACCCCCCACACGGGAAAATCAAGAATATTCATGTCAACCTAAATAACATGCAGTTTAGTATAATTTGATCTACAAGGATCACTTCATAATCAAAAGCCGGGGATAGGCATGTGTAAATTTATAATATATTAAGAATCTTCCTTCTTCCGTTTTGACGCATGTTCATCGCTCTCATTTTTCCGCTTGGCTTCTCGGCGCTCCCTCTTCACTCCTTTTGCTTTATTAGGTAAAGCCATTTCTCCGATCTAAACAATCAAATTGTTATAACTGGTTAAATATCCTTCAGAGGACTGAAAAAGGAAAGTAACATATGCACAGGCCATGTAGTTTTAGTGAAAGAAGCTAACTCAAACAGTTGATGCATGAAAATAGTCAGTCTTACCTTCTGATCTGGAATATAAATACTTCCAATCTTTCCCTGTAATTCATCCTTTTTAACATTTTTCTCCTGTGAGCAACAGAACATGTACACAATTTAGACATACATCTTCATTTTACGTTAACAGATAAAACAGAGAGATCTAGGGTTGCCAACCTTTTTCTTTGGCTTCTCCCTCGTAGTTTTCATGGCTTCCTTCCTCAAACTTTCATTAGGAGAACGATGCCGACGAAAAACCAGATCCATTGAAGGGCCAACTTCTACTAATTCCATCCTTGGCACAACAGTGCCTGACTTTTTCAGCCGCAATGCACAGTGTGTAAATAACACCCGATTTGGAGAGATAGCAGAACACACGTATGCACGGTCCACTCCAGCAAGATTTAAATTCTCCACAACCTGCACAGTTCAAGCGCATCAATTCTGTTGATGTAAATATATAATCCCAACCAACAACAAAAATCACACTGCAAGACTACAAGAAGCACTAGCTACACACCTCACCACGAAGAAGATCAAGTAAAACTTCCTTCAAATGCTTTAGCTCTTCCACGGCCTCAAACCCTTCTCCAATGAAAACAATAAAAGGCTTCGACCCTTCCTTAGGAGCTAACTTCTTATCATAACTAAAAGATTCCATGGGTTTAAAATTCTCAACCCCAACCTCTACTAAATCATATATATGATGATCATAAGTCCTCCCTATAACAAGGTTATCAGGTCGCTTCTTCGAGTGAGATCCATACTGCAAAAAAATACAAAACCCTTAAAGACATTGCTTGGAATGAAACATATTAAGACTCTCAAATATCAATTGTAATCACAGTAAAACACTTTCTCTATAATTAAAAAAAAATGCCTTGTATTACTTACCATCAATAATAACTGCTATCATCAATAAAACACCTAATGTGATTAGAGAACAATAATAAACGGTACCATATCCATGTTTCGTTTTTCAGTAATCTAGCACAACGAAGAGTAGATGAGTAATTACCACAAAGATGCTGCAATCCGTTTTGAGAGAGAAGAACTCGAGAGATGTTTCGCCGCCAGTTTCGAAGGGCTTAACATTTTCATTCTTGCGGCTGAACTTGATGGCGCTGTCCTTCTTCAGGTGATAAATCTGAGTGAGCACTGCGTTCAATACGCCACTGGTCTTCGTGCCGTGCAGAATCAACGTCTTCTTCCCCGATTCGACCTGCGAAAACGAAACCAGCGGTGAGAAAAATTTCCCAAAAAATTGAACTGTTAATTTTCTGGGGAAACAAAGGGATGGATACTAACGAGTCGGGGGGCACGCTTCTCGAGCTCCCGTTTGCCCTTGCGGGTCTTAGCGGTTTTAATTTCCAACATCGCAACGAAACGAAAACACAAACTGCGTATACTGCAGCAGTGTAGTGTGTGTGTTTTTCTCTACCTTCGAGTTTTCGAGTTTTAGGGTTTTGACTAATCCGTGGAGGAGGGAAAGAGGGGTTTTGTTCTGTTCCCTTTATTATTGAGTAAATTGCCACCTTTATGTTCCACTCTTTTCGATTTCTTTTAAAGAAATATAATTTGGTTTTTTATTATGTATTTATAAATATATTTTTTATATTTATAAATACAATGCATTATTTAAAATATATTTATAATATAATTTGTTTTAACTTTTTAACAATTGTTAAAGAATATATATTAAAAATTTTAATTTTAATGTACATAAACGTTTTTTTACAACGAATACTATTTTTAATTAATTATTACTAAATTTAGTTATTTTTTGTCAGTACGATAATTCATGATTAAATTAATAATGTAAATAATATGTTGTCAATATATTTTAGTTAAATTATTTAAAAAATAAATATGATTTTATATTTTAAAATTTTTGAAAAAACAGTTATTATTTTATTTTAATTTTTTTAATACAATAAGTAATTGCTTTTGTAAATTAAATCAAATAGACACATTTTTACTAATTAATAATTTAGATATATTAGTTTTCTAACTTGGGTAATGCACTTATATTTTATTTTAAATATAATATATAATATATAATTAAAAAACCTGTTTTAAAATAATAATTATATTATATAATGTAAAAAATTTAATTAAATATCAATAATCAATATATAAGAATTATTACAAATTTAAAAGATAAAATTTACAGAATTAAGTTTTAAATTTTAAAATAATAGAATAAAAAATAATTATAAATTTAGGAATAAATATTTATAAAAATATAAAATTTGTATAAGATAATAAAAAATTAAATAAATTAAATTTTTAAAATTTTATAACAAAATTAATAAAAATATGAAAAAATTATTGTAATATAAAAATTATAATTTACACTTTATTCACAATAAATTATTAATAATTAATTATATTACAGTATCAAATAATATATCAACTAACTATAAATTAAAATATATAATTATATTGCATATAAAATGTAATATAATTTTAATTTTTTATATTTAACCATTCAACGTTAACATTTTTTTAATTCAACATACTTTTTTCTTTTTTTATTATAATAAATTTAATTTTTATATATACCTATCAATATCTATATATAAAATCTATTGCATTTTAATAGTAAAATCTTTGTTCAATAAATATTATATATACTTTAATAATATTATAATCATTTTTATAACATGATTAAATACACAATTTTTAAATAATTAATTGTAAACTATTTTAAAATTGTGATAAAATTAAATTTATCACAATTTTTTTATTAATAATAACTTTTAAATTTATTAGATACTAACACTAGAAGATGGGAGGTAAGTGGCTTGAAGGTATAAACGAGGTAAAATCATATATTCTTTTTCTTTTTTTACGACTTTCTTACTCGTGAATGAGACAGATCAACAATTAACAATATTAATATATCATCCATATCGAATGAACATAAAAAAGAATTAGAGAAGACTTTTATTGTAGAAGAGATGTCGAGTACGATAAGAGTCTAGATTTCGACAAATTCAATTTCATATTTGTAAAATCATTTTGGGACTTAGTAAGAGATGAAATAATGCAGATACTTGTGGAATTTAATATGAATGTAGCTTATTCTCTTATTTTGTAATTCTCATTCTGAAGACAAAAAATCCCCAGAAGGTAAGTGAGTATAAACCTATTTCCTAATTGGGGTATTTTTATAAAATTATTTCAAATAACATACTCAAGGCTGTTTTCAGCAATAGCTATAAAGAGGCGTGAGTGATAAATAATGAACAATTTAAGATTGGTCAATAGGTGTGAAAATTTCCTTAAAAAAGACATTATTTTTATGAGAGAAAAATTTACAATAGCAATTGTGAGAGACTATAGAGGATAATAAGTCGAGAGAAAATGTGAACGATATGCTGATGTAGAAGTGTGATAGTAATAAGAAATATAATATGCAATTTACTTATTACTACATTTATCATTTCGTTACTGTAAACAGCGGTTTAGAGCTGCAAAAGGTAGTATAGTATTCGTTTGATGATTGCTACTTAATGCAATTATAGTGCGAAAAAATTTAACTAAATGTAGATTGACAATTCCTTATTATGTATATGAATTAAATTGATAATCCTTTAACATGTATTGTTAATTCCCTCTAGAGTTATAACGGGTTGAAATATTATTTATACTCTGAATTTATCCTTAATAAAATATTGATGTTTAACAAAAAAATAATAATTTTATATTTCTTATAAAATTATAAGATCATACTTTTATTTTAATTATTAAATATAAATTTATTAATTTTAAGTATTTTATTTTATAATATATAATAATTTCATTTAACATATTTTATATATTAAAGTTAATTTTTTTAAATTAAAGTAAATTCATCCAATGCGCGGATATTATAATTAGTGTTCATGTATAGTTATTTTCCTTAGCCGTTATTAATTTAATCAGGCATGTTCTTGTTGTTATTATAAGTTTTGGGTGTTCCAGAAAATAAAAGTAAAAGCAAGACATGAAAATAATTCTGACTTGCAGTATACTTATCTTTGAAAGAATAATTAAGTAGATTTTTTTTCAATATGTTTATTAATTAAAATTTAAGTTCTATGTTAATAATTTATAATAAAATTAAATATAATTATTTTATTAAATTTATAATTTTAATTAGTAAATAATATTGACAACGCCTAAAGAATAAATTTTATTATTTTAAAAAATGTGAAAATTTATTGACACTTTTTGTTTTTATTTTATCAAGAGTCGCAATGATGTATTTTCTTAATTAACAGTTACGTCTCCATCTTGCTTAAGTGTGTATTTGATATCTTACAAAATTATCCTAAAATTACATTTCAAAATTTAAATTTCACAACAAGCTTATAAAAAAAATTCACAACAATAATAAAACTTCATTTACAAAATACTAAAAATAGGAACGATCAAATTGTCTTTGCATAAGTTAAGGAAAGTTAATTTTTGCCTTTAAACTTTTTGTCCAGTCGTTTGGTTTGATTCAACTGGACTTATTTTGCGCAAATATGATATTTTTGAAAATTTTAAAAAATCATTAATAATAATTTTTTTTATACTTTAAAGGTTTGTTATTATTTTTATATATTTTTTTTATAAAAAACACCATATTTTAATATATATAATTTTAAATTTTCATATAAAAAAATAAACCCCAACTCACTTCCCATCTAAATTTTGTTGTCGTAGGTACTTGGATAACAACCTTTTTGTTATTTCAAGGATTGGGATGGCCTTTTTCGACTTTGGCAGCATATTTTTTTTTTTTATCTCCAATTATATAAAGAGTATTAGCACCATATATTTTTTTAATAATTTTAATTATTATCTAAATTTTTTTAAAAATTTATAAAAATATAAGTGATGTTTGTTAAATTAGAAATGAAGTTTATATAATACATTTCAGTCAATATAAAAAATATATTTAGTAGAATGTATAAATATATATATATAGAGCGAGAGAGAGAGTAGTGTTTATCCCATTACGTTAAACTAGGTGACTGTATGATCAGGTGTAACATCAACTCGTTGATCATGAGCGACAGAATGAGTGCTAAAATTTTCCCATGGTCCAATAATTAAACATCGTGGAAGATGGGTTGGATGAGTTCTAAGAGACAAATTTCTTTGTCAGTTTATTTTTGGTGAGCGATAAGTAGTTGTCTTAATTATGTATCACTCACGACAAAAGAAAATAATCAACTATTGTGTTCTACTTAAACCCCTATCTTTGTATATTAACATATAATGTTACATTTTGCGGACCAAACCGTGTTATATGAAGGTGATAAGATTCAGAATTGCACAATATTTCATGTAAACAACGCATGAATGGTCTTATCGTGCGTGTTTGAAATGCTTATAAACTCACGCTAAACTCTGTTTTAATGAGATACTGTACTTGAAATAAATTCACGGTTAACGGGTTAAGGAGGTTTCACATTTGCCTAAACAAGCTATTACCTAGTTGAACATTCATTCACTGTGTTCTTAAGCACAAAATTGGAAGTAGCACAGTCCCATGGCCATGACGGTGCTAACTTCGAAAATACTTTTATTTAGTGGGAAATTTGAGAACTGAATATTTAATATATAATTACATTTATTAAGTCTCGAATTTACATTATAAGTTAAATTATAATAATTTTTATCAATTAATTTATGTATTTGATGATAATTTTTTATTTGATTTTTTTAGTTCTATTTTTTAAAATATTTTATAATATATTTTTATTAAATAGGGGTTTTGTGGTTTTATCTTTCTAAATATTACAAAGCTTTTCATTTAATTCTTTTAGGTACTATAATTTTTATTTAATTCGTATATGTATTAATAAAAAAACTCTATTTGAAGAAACTAAATGAAAAAATAAATAGAAATGGTCATCTTGTAGCAAAAACATTTTACAAAGGACCCAATTAAAAAATTAAAAAAATCATATATTTTTAAGGGATAAAAAGATTGATTAAGGCTAAATTAATAATATCATTTGTAAATATACCTGATCATAGTTTACATATATCTCGAAACCTTATGTGATGGTGATATCAACACCTTTCCCTAGCTGATGACAGGCACAAAACTCGAATTCGGAAAAACAGAACACGATCACAACCTCTTATTTATATATATATATAAACTCTTATATCTAATTTAAATTTTTTATTTAATTTATATTTAACGATTAATAAAATAATAAATTATAACACGTTAAATATAAATTAAATAAAAAATTAAAATTTAATATAAGAATTTTTAGATTTATCTTACTTGTCTCTCTCTATATATATCCACGCTTAGTACTCTGCCTTTGAAAAGTTGAATTAATTCAAGGCTTATGGTGTTGGGTGTAGATGTAATCCAAGTGGGCCTCCGCCATCATCCTCCTGCTAGAGCATTCTTCATCCTTTTCACAGCACTCCTCTGATCCCATCAACTATATGACATAGCATCCACTTAGGTGGGAGAATGAGAGGGAGAGAAGAAAAAAACAACATATAAACTGAAGAAACCAATCAGGGAAACAATTTTATTTTAGTTTTAAGGAGCGTTTAGAAAAATCAAACCAAAATTTATAAAAATAACTTATAGCTTTCCTAAGTTTTTTTAAACTTATTTTAAAACAATTTACAGTCAAATTTACAAGATAAACATTCATGTAGGAAAGGTTTATTAAATAAACGTTTAACTTGTGTTTTGATACACCCTTAAATGTGAGAAAATAACATGCAAATAGAGATGGGGTAAACACTATTATGTGTAATCTTACTTCTTCCATGTCAACTTTTAGCTCAGCGGATGACTGAACCATGGAGTTATCATTGACCTTCACTTCCTTCTCACCTATATCAAGTTGTTCCAAGCTCAGAGGTGAACAAAGACAAATATTAAAAAGAATCATAATATATAAAAATCATAATACCATGTCACGTAGTTATACCTTGTCTTGTTGGACCTTTCGGTAATTCAAGGAAACGTGAAGAAGATAAGAAAAAGGAAAGAAGGAGAATAGATAAAAGCAAAACAAATTGTTGCTTCATTGGTTCATTAAGGGAACGAGAGATCGCAAGAGAGGAACCAAAGCAAAAAAAAAAAACACTTAGCAAACATGCATCTAAGGAGGTGGAAGAATGGAATAAATAAATGAAAGAGCCAATAGAGCTTTGCATAAAGCTGCTCCAAGGGGGGGTTTGAGTCACGTGGAGACCCAAATAGTCCACAACTTGGAAGCACCTTCATTGGCCCTACCCATTTACAATCTTTGTCTTTAACTTAAGCCCAACAATGGCACCAACATTGGTGATGTACGTAGCCTCTTCATTCTTCATGTGATAAGAGCATCGCATCATTTCCATGTACCGAACTCCAATTTATCTGAGTATGAAGACACAAAAGAAAAAGGGTTGTCGTTTTCATAGTGGTCCAAAACGGAGCAAAAAACAAAATGAATTAAAGTGAACATGGTCAACAATGAAAGATGAGTTACTCATACGGTTCTACACCCTCTTTCTTCATCCGATCTTTAAAATAGAAAAATGAAAAATCTAGCTAGTGTGAAAACAATGAGATCACACATACTTATATATATTACGCTTCTAGTGAACGTCAAATTTTACTATGATTCCATCTATGGTCTGCCGACATCTGTTTTCCTATTGTTTTTCATTTTTCATATTTTTGGCAGTGTAAGAAATATATTTTGTTAATACATATAAATATTTATATATTTTTTGTTATGATTTATAATAAATTTTAACTGATAATAAAGACTTTATTAGATGGTGTATTGTTAATATTATTTTGACTTTTAACTTTCATTTAACTTTAATTTTTATTTAATTTTAATCTCCATAAATTTAAATTAACGTAATGTAATTTAAGCAATTTAATCTCCACTGTATACAAATTAACACACACATAAACATTTCAAACAAATCAGAGAGCATTAATAATTTTTTAAAATATATCTATGGTATCAATAGTGCTATAGCAATATGAAGAAAGCAAACCTTTATGCACTGAATCCTTTTCATGATCAACATACATGACATTTCGATTTTCTGTGTCCCAAACAAGTCTTTAGCAGGAATCAGACAGCATCTACCCAATGATATGAAATTTGTGACCAAACTACAAGTAGTACGAAAAATATAAAATAAGTTAAACAAAACTTAGTAGATGGATGGCATGCTGGACCGCTGATTAAGTGTTCAATTAGGGAGTGTTTCCCTTTAGTAAAGTTGTATTCTTATTCCCACGTAAAAGTAGTGTAAGCTTTATACTTTAGTCCTATCTATCGATAAGGCTGTAAAATCATGTGAAACCTGCGATGAGATGCATCATGAGCAATGTACATTAATTTCCCAAAAAAAATTGTATATCATCAATTTTTAATTTTACAAGTTTTTATAAATATGTGAGTTTATGTAGAAATCAAGCTTTTAAGCCCTATAAAAGATGTAAGAGAAAAATATTATGTTCACAATAATTCTGATTAGCTAAATATTACTGGCATTTAATAAAAAAGCAAAGAAATATAAATTTCTCTGCTTCAAATGTTAAATACCATTCTTAAGTAAAAAAAATAACATCTGATCATTAACTATTTAGTTTTTTTTTTAATGAATATTTACAAATAATATAAACAACCAAAGAGGGGATGGGGGTCCTTGTTGGCTCTAATCATTCAGATATGAACTCAATAGCTAAGGTACCAATTATTTTCGTTCGAATCTCAGATTAAAAAAATATATATGTAAAGTTGAGTACAGCCCATTATAATAAAGCATAACATGCATGTAAGGTACGGTTAATAGGAGTTCTGATTTTTATTTTTTTTCTTTTCATTTTTCACTTTCATCCCCGTTACTGTTAAGTAACTTAACATTTTCTTAAGACTTAAATGGAGTGGAAAGCAAAAGTGAATTGAATAAAACATTGCTCTTTTTATTTCATGCTTTTATTAAAGAACTACACAATCTTACAATATTTTTATTTTTTTAAAATTTGATAAGAAAGGGTAAAAACAATGAAATGATATTTTAAAATAGCAAAAAAGTAATCTTCGATGTGAATAGATAAGAATCTTCTATATTTGTATGTTTATGATACGTATGGTTCTTCTATGTTCATCAATTGTAGAAATGATCAATTGATTGTAATTAATCATGGCATTTAATCGTAATTAGTACTGAACAAAAAATCTAGTCATGAAGGTCTAATCTATGATAAAGTGAAATTAATTTTAAAAAATTAAATTATTATTAAATGATTTTTTAGTTCAATATGTCTGATTGGATTGATTTTGTAAATCCAAATTTTAAAAATTGAATGTGAGAACCAAAACTAATAAAGGGAAAAGGTTAAAAAGAAAAAGCAGAAAAATGAAAAGCAAGTAAAATTTCTCAATAAATAATAATACGTACATAGCATGATAGCTTGAACCAAGTTTAAATTTAAAACTTGATTTTAAAAAAAAGAAATAGATTAATTTTGAAATCCAATCAATATAACAAGTTTACAAATGAATATTGATAGATTTTATAGCGACTTTATTAATGTGCACTTTTATATAATTGATGATTATTTTATTTATATTATTCTAATTATTTCATTTCTCCGAGTTTCACTTTATTCTAATTTTTTAATTAATTATTTATATAGACATAATTCGAAAAAAAATATAAAGTTACAAAATGACTGAACTTTCAAAAATAGAAAAGCTATCAAGAATGTATTTAGATACAAAATTTAATCAAGCACTTATTTAATATTTTTTAAGTAGTTAATTGTATGATAAGTATAATAAAAATATATATATCAAGACAAGTTTAAATAACTTCTTTTAATGAATTATATCAAGAAACATATTAAAGTAAATTAAAGAGAACTTAAAGAAGTCATGAACTATTTTTACAGTTTGTTTATAATGAAATTAAACTGATTGTATTTTGTCATTTATTTATTAGCAACAAGATTAATATATTATTGATCAAGTTTTTTTTTTCCATAGAACTCAAATTTAATAAATTAATAAATAAAAGAATACACACATAAAATACTTATATAGAATGGCAATCAAGCATAATAAAAATATCAAAGGTTTAATCCTTTCATAAACTTCATACATAATTGTGTTTCTTACCAAATTATCTTTTGACTACAGTACTTATATTGATCTATGGTCATAATTAGTTTGAGTTTTGCTTTCAAATTATTGAAAATGAATAGAAAAGTAATTGTACCCTAACTACAACTAATATCTTAAAAGTAAAATTTTAATAGACTTTTAGTACAATTTAGTTGTTGATTTTACTTTTTTAAATCAACACAATAATACACTCGAACTTGTGTATTCAAAATCAAACATAAATGACTCTCACAATGAGTGTTAAATAAAAAAAAAAGAATAAAAAATTAGAATATTACATAAAAAAGATAATTACTTTATGTATATATAACATCACTAAGAAAGAAAAACTAAACCCTTTAATAATTATAAATTAAGATATAAAATAATATTAACAGGTAGTTAGATCACATATCTCTTCACAGAAAAAAAATATAATACCAAATTATCTTTAATACTTTTAATTAAAATAATAATAAATTTATATATAATATTTTAAGAATTAAACAAATTTAATATTCTATCCATATATATACTTGATTGTCACTGGACCGATGGAAACATACTCATTTTTTTTTCAGTACTAGAACTGGTGTTAATTACCTTGCCAAATACTCGAGGTGAAAGGATCAAGTGCCTGATCGAATGAGATAATAAATTTGAATTCAATATATATTTTCTCTCAAAGCTGCCATGCTAAAATCAGAGAGATTGGCAATACAACTGACACTCTTTTTTTTTATTTAAAGTTTACATATGAATCGGAAATTGTCTCATGAGGATATGCTGTATTCCATTCTTTTAAATTAATTGTATTTTTCTTCACTTTAATTTAGATTATAATTAAATTTCGATCTATCAATTTTTCCTTGAGTTATTTTTTAAATTAAACAAATTTATTTAGTACTATTGTGAATTTTATTTCAACCCTCAAATTTTTATTAATTTTTTGCTTTTTTAAAAATCATTTTATATCCCAAATTCATCGTAAAGACATATAGATATTTAAACAAAAACGGATATTTTCAATGTCATAGATAGAAGAAAATCAATGTAGATAGCAAATTTATTTAATTTTTAAATAAAAATAATTGACTTTAAAAAACTGTAAAGGACTAAATATTAGACCTTTTACTCTGGTCAATGTTTTTCTTCTAATCATGGGCCATTTTATTTAACCCATTATGATTGGGCTTCATGTATATTCGTAAATTTGGGCTAAACACCCCTTCTTTTGCAGCAGATTTTTTGTTTTTTTGAATTTTGAGTAAATTTGTTACTGATGTTTTATTATCAATTTTTTATGCATTACAAGATAACATTATATAATTTTGTTACTGAAATATCGAATGAAATAAGACACACACGTTTTGCTGCTTTTTCTTTTTTATTTAACTAAAACGGCATTTCTGATCTTAAAAAGGGGGCAGAGAAGGAACATAAGGATTGAAGGTAATCTACGACGGAAGTTGTTGTTAAGAGAACATGTTTGGGAGTTTTAACGACAACTTGGAAAATGAAGATGATAATAGAATGCTGTGTCCCTGCAAGTGCAACACGTGTCTATCCATGTAACAACAACATGTTCGCTACTTGTTCAGCAATAACAAGAAGACCTTTATCCCTGTCTCTCGTCTCAACTAGTTTCTCCGCATTCATCTTCTCACTTCCTCCTCCTTCTTCCTCTTCTTTTCTCTCTCCTTCTTCAAAATTCCCCGTATCAGAATTCTTTGTTATCCCCAATTCCGGTGGAGTTAAGGCTTTGGATCTCCTTGATGGCTCCGGTGAAGTTCCCGCAGATGGGGACCAGGTATTTCTCTCCTTTAAATAATAACAATCCCCAATCTTCCATGGATTTCTTTTTTTTTTTGTTTTGTTAATAGAGTTCGAGATTTAGTAGCCTTGTACGATTATATTTAGAGTTTAATTTTAACGTAGAGTTGAAAAGATATTTATATTATTAACCGGGTGAGTATCATAAATAAGATATGATTTTTACAGTCATAATTATTAAAATTAACCAATTTTAATGACATGATAATTCGTGATTCAATGGCAATATAAAAACTTATGCCCTATTAAGACATTATAAAGTCTTCTATTGATAGAAGGAAAATGCTAACAAGTGCTAGACAATGATTAAAGAATTAAAAATAGAAATATTTTACTGAAAAAAAAAATCACTTTCATTATTTTGTATACATTTGAATATATTTTTCAATAGAAATTTATTATTTATCCATTCCTTAACCAATGCTTTTTAGACACCGGTTAGCGAAACCTTGTATAGAATGAGTTTAACATATTTTTTCTAACATACTTTTAATTATTAGCTGAAATTTACTAAAAATTATAAAACTACAAGTGTGAATCATTAAATTAGGAATAAAATTCACATTATTATTGTGATTTTTAATCAATTTTAATTAATAATAAAAATATAATTGAAAGAGTGTGGTAGATCATCAATCAGTAGTGGTTCTCTTATAGAATAATTTAACGTGTAGCTGCTAAAGTTTTTCATTTTATTTTATTCATTATGGCTTGGTTATCATTATAAATATAGGTTCTTATTTTTTAAGGTTGCAATACACTACTATGGTAGACTGGCAGCAAAACAGGGATGGCGCTTTGACTCAACTTATGACCACAAAGATGACAATGGTGATCCTAATCCATTTGTCTTTGTCCTTGGGTCTGGCAAGGTAAGCCTCGATACAACAATTCTTGCTTGAGTGAAGTGCCAATCAAAAGTTTAGAATAGTACAAAATGTTAAAATATTTTCAGTACAAATGTTAGCATGGAATTATTATCATTTTAATGAATTAAACTTTTGATTGGTTGTACGCACTTGTGAGAATTGTTCAGTCGTAACATTTGTACCTTCCATTACCTCTAGCTCACCGCAATCTATATCTCTCACTGTTTAGTCCTATATGGACAGATTTAAATGTGATATGATCTGATTGTATAAATTATGGACTGAAGTTTTATCTGTCATTCTAATTTTGCTCTTATAAAAAACAATGTTTCTACAACCTAAATTTTGTAATCAAACTTTTATGTTTTATAAAACTGCCATTTATGTTTTTTCGTAGATGGATTGTCAGAATGTCAAACTTCATATGATATTTTTATGAAATTATTTCCTAGGCTTTCATTGTATGTCATTTTAAGAAAGATAATCATATGGGAATAATGTTATGTTCAGGTTATTGCTGGAATTGACGTGGCAGTGAGATCAATGAAAGTAGGTGGTATTCGTAGAGTCATCATACCTCCATCACTTGGGTATCAAAACACATCACAAGAGCCCATCCCACCTAATGTAAGAAACCTTTTTTCTGCTTCAGAGTCGTGGTAAAGCTTTGATTAATTTTCCACTTCATTGTTGTTGTTCTAAAAAAGTTCTTATGTATCTACTATCTAGAAAGAAAGTTGTGCTTAACTTGTGGTAAAGCTTTGATTAATATTCCACTTCATTGTTGTTTTTCTAAGGTTCTTATGTATCTACTATCTAGAAAGAATGCTCTTTCTTTGTAAACTGTAAAACCAAGCCAGCTTCAGCATGGATTATAATTATTGATATACGCACACTTTTTTCAACATTACAAATTAGATGGAAATTTAAAAATAACATATATCCAGTGGTTGTATGTTTGTGCTTGTTTACAATATTTTCACAGAAGAAACAACAGAATAAAGGGACACTGGACTGATATTAGAAGGATCAAGCTTATCTAACAAAAAGATTATAGAATGTAAAAAATGTCATGTTATATCTTGTGATTATGTTTCCTTACATTGAGAAGTTATAAATGTTAAATGAAGGGGTAGTTGGTACTTAGTAATTAGTACTAGTTATATACAAAGTAAACAAATGTTAGCCCATTTAACTGTTTTTCATTTTGGATGAAGTTGTGATCCATTTTTCTTTCTCCCTTTTTGTGTGATGAGAAATTTGCAAATGGATAGGATATTATTACATTATCTATCTCTTTTGTTCTTATAGTACTAATTTTTGTCATGTTCCTTCAACCTTTCTCCTCAAAAACAAAAACCAGTTCTTTGACAGGCAGAGGCTGTTCACTACAATTTTTAATCCAACCCGCCTTGCAAATGGAGAAGGCTCCACTTTAGGGACACTTATATTTGATATTGAACTGGTTAGCCTCTGGCATCTGTGAAGTCAGCAAATATGATCAAACATCCAGAAGACAAAAATAGTTTTTTTTTTCCTAGAGAATATTACAATAGTCTAAATGAGCCAGCATTTACCTGTTTGTAAATAACAGGGTATTACTCATGAATCCCCATGCATGAACTTGATTATGCAATGCTAAGATCAGTTTTTATCTCTGCCAATGATAAGAATAATCCTGATTTCCATGTTGCTTGATTTTTGCATTATCATATTAGTTTTGATCTGTTATAGTTTATGTGGTTATATCATGAGGTTTGCTTAGTAATTTGCTTTGATTTTTTGCTCAAAATAAACAATGCCCCTTTCAATCATGGGTAATTTACGGATCTAGTTTTGAAGAGATGAACCGCATAGTCTCTCAAACTCCCTATTTTGAATTATTGTTTGGGTAATACTTCGTAAGGGAGAAAATGGAAAAGTGGAAAATTGATTGGTGAAAATGAGATGTTATTTAGACTTATATGACGACCACCCTTGTCAAATTCACATCAATAACCTTTTCACTTTTACTCGTACCATTCACATGGCAATGCGTGATCATAGCTGTTTCGAGAGATGCTTTTTCTGTTATACGAGTGGCATGGGGTTTTTGAAGAAGGGTGGAAGGAAATCCTTGGCATGATAAATTGAACTTGATTTGTTAAAGTTGCATTTGACTGTTAATTCTTTTTGTTGAATGATTGCTTACTTTCCTATATGTGAATTTTGTAATGATTAAACATGTTAGTCTAGATTTGCTAGTTGCTACAGTCTAGAGGAATATATTTTTTCAAAATATTTATTTAAATGTATATATAAGGATCGATATTATAGCACCTAAATAAACTTAATCATTATATATATGTAAAAAAAACCTACTGTCATTTCTAACGGTATCTTGGCATCTTATGCAAATAAAATATCAACAAATTATCAAATTCTTTAATATTACATAGAATTGGCTATGCTAGAGAATATTATTTAATTATTTTTTTATTTAATAATAAGTTTTATTAAAATAAATTAAAAATAACTTATTTTAGTAAATTATATATGTATGTATGTATAAAAGTTTATTTTAACAACTTATACAAATTATAAAATAATATTTTTTATAATTTGTTTATAGATTTTTTAAACAAGTCCTCAATGAATATTTATAAACATAACATATTTATAAAAATTTGTGAAATATTAAGATTGCTTGGTCTCAACCTACGAGTTAACTAAAAAATATTATTTCTATATTAAAATAAAATAACCTATGCATTTAAAAAAGAATACGCGGCCTTGATAAAGATAATGTTAATAATGTCTTATAAAATACAGGAGTTAGACCTAAAAATAAAACAATCATAACAACATTTTAAAAATATCAAATTAAAAAATCAAATTCGCCCAAAATGTTATTAGAAAATGAAAATTTTGCAAGGAAGTAAAAATATAATTAAAAAATATTTAATTTATTTTAGATGACTTTTGCTCGTAAAAATTAACCAATCTAAATTGCAGATTCAGTTTACAAGTTCGTATCATGGCATGGAACAGAGCGTCAGATGGTGATGAATGACGATTACGACTTCATATTATTTTAATTTATTTGTAATTTGTCTAATAATTAACGAATGCTTCTTTCATGTTACAGTGACAAAAGCATATATATATATAGTATAATGTTGATATTAATATATTAAAAATGAAGAACGAAGGTCATACTTTATATACTTGTTCTAGACAGAACAAATAGTTGTTATCTCCCCTTGAATGTGTATTTGGTTGTCATGTCATCATTATTGACCATTGATGCATGCATTGATGATTATTATTAATAAGTTGATTAGGCGTGTCTTAATCCGTCATCAGTATTGAATATATTAAATATATTTTAAGTCAATGATTGACATTATAAGTTGAAGCAAAAAATTCCAGAAACATTGAAAGTGTGTAATGACGTTCCAGTCCTCATGCATATGCCTTGTGTGAGAGCAATATCATTAAGGAGATATTTGGTTAACATAATTATTTTCAATTTTTTGAGAATTTTATTTTAAAATTGTTTAAAGTATTTTTAAAAAATTATACAATATTTTATTTTGGAAATATTTCTATCTTTATGTAGTTTGAAATTTAAATATTACTTTCTAGAAATATTAGTGTTTCTTTAAAAAAAAGCTCCTTTTTTTAAAACATATCTTTATTTTTTATTATTGCAATTCATAATTTGATTTATATTACTAATTAAATGTATGTTTATTTAAAATTTTAAAAATAAAAAAATACAACACATTTATAATTGAGAAGTGTGTGCATGTATATGTTTGTGTGAAAAAATTATATAAATAATCAAATTCATTATTTATATACATAAAAAAGTTTGAAAAAAAAATTAATATCACACAAGCCTAGTTAAGTTATCTCACAAGCAGTGAAAATTACGAAATTTCAATTATAACTAACTCTTCAAATATTCTTTTTTACTGCAATAGAGATATAAATAAAGGTTTTAGATAGGACCATAAGATGTAAAAAAAAATTTAAAAATAAGTTTAAATTTTAAAATATTAAAAGATACAGTTGCATTTTTATATTATAATTTTTTCATTTTTATAGGATTTTTTATTCCTTTTATGAGAATATTTTAATGAAAAATTTACTTTTTTTCAAAAAAAATATTATTTCTTGAAATATTTTTTAAAATATTCAAACCCAACATGCAATCTAACAATTTTAACTTAAGATTCCTAAAGAAAACACTTTATAAAAGCATGTAAGAAAAGTTAGTTTAAATAGGCCATTTTTGGGTGTGCAGTGAGTGACAGAAAGAGAAAAATTAAAAAAGGTAAAAAAAAGAAGAAGAAGAAGAAGATTGATGGTGTGATAAAAAAAAAGACATAAAAATGCTAGAAAATGAACGTGTATATATATATATATATTATCATTAATCACTTTCATCCCTTTCTATAATTCTTCGAATTAATGATCAATGATATATTTTCAGGAAAAAAAAATTATTCCTTTATTCTGAAAAAAAAAGTGGAAATTGAAAATTTGACAACGAAATGAGAGTTAGTAAAGTGGGAACCACGGGTGGGACGTGAATTGCAGACAGATGCAAAGGTCCAACTTGTTTTACGGACTTCACAATGTTCAAATTCAATCAAAGACCTCAAAACCAAAGCCTCCTCACGCCATTTTCTAGCTTCTAGCGATTGTTTAGCCTCCTTTTCTCCACTTTTACTTTTCTGTTTTCTTCCACATCTATGGTCTATATTTGCCCATTGTTTTTTACTTTTCCATTTATTTATTTTTAAATATTCAAACACTGCTTTATAAATCTTCTAACTTCTCCTCTTTTTTTCACTTGTCTTCTCCGCTTTCGAAACAACACACACAAACAAGGCCTTCTTTTTCCTTCGTGATCTCACAAGCCACCATGTCTTCCTTCAAGAGCAAGTACCAAGGTTAATATTCGCTCATCTTCTGCGTTTTCATTTCCACAATATTCTTCTTCGTTACATGTTATATTATATTCTCCGGTTACTCCTTATAAGACATGCGTTCATGGTTTTTGAATCGTTTTTTCTCTTCCTTTCCATGGAACTTTTTCTTAGTGTGGAATTCATCTGGGTGTGCGGTTTCTACGTAAAAATTTGATTTTTTTTTTCTTCTGGGGATGGTTGTTTTGTTATCCGTTGAATCCGGGTACACCATTTGATGATACCAGATGGAGGGAGAAACTTGTGTAGACATGATCTAGATCTTCGTTTTAAGAATTTTGGAATGGAAACATTGAACTTTTGTTCCTAACTGTGTTTTCTGATTGGAGAACTATTTGTGAGTTTTCTTCACACGCAAAACATGTCAATTTAATATCTTTTTATGGGTGTATCTGTATCCCCTTGAAAACTTTCTTCTTTCCTTTTTTTCGTTCATGATACTAAATTCACTTTATGCCTTTTGGATGGGATTATCTATGTAAATATGAATGAACAAGATCAACTTTCTAGGAACCGAAAATGTAAAATCATAAACTTTCTCTATGTTAAGCAAAAGATTCAGTAATAGTTTGATCTTGGTGACACGTGCGGCGATGAGAACCAATCTGTTACACGACTCAGATATGTGTTGTTGAGTAAACACGTTGCACAAACTTGTTCAAAAGATATGTAACATGCAAGTTGGAAAAGTATTTCAACTGTTTTTTATTGAGTGTCCAAACATATATAGCATGTTTTCTTAGAAATAATAAGATATCATAACATTAATATATTAAATGGAATAATTTTTAAAAAGTATTATAATTTTTTTTTTTTATGTATATGTCCTTCAACACACTTTTAAAAAACTAATATTTTAAAATATTAATTTGTGTATAAAAAAAGTAAAATTGTTGAAACCAGTTAGTTAGTTTAGTTTGTTTTGTCCTGTCTTTGGTTTGAAGTTGAATTGAGACAATTGTGGTGTGGTAATAAGGAAGGATTAAAATTGTATATGTCGAATTAGTAAATGATTAAAAAGAAAATGGAATGGAATGCAGATGAGCTGATTGCCAATGCTGCATATATTGGGACCCCTGGAAAGGGTATCCTTGCTGCTGATGAGTCAACGGGTACAATTGGGAAGCGTCTAGCCAGCATCAATGTGGAGAATGTTGAAACAAACAGACGCATTCTTCGTGAGCTCCTATTCACTGCTCCTGGTTGTCTTCAATTCCTCAGTGGTGTCATCTTGTTTGAGGAAACCCTCTACCAAAAAACTGCTGCAGGTATTCACAATTTCCCTAGCTAATTTATTTAGTTTCTAGCTGCTCAAAATTTAACTTCAATACATCATTTATTCATTTTTATCAAACTAACTCTAATTTATAAATATTTAACAAAATTTATCAAAATTAAAATTTATCTTAATAGACTATCAACTTTTAATTAAGATAAAATAAATTCAAAAGAATAATACTTAAATTTTGTCTTTCATGACATGAACTCTAAACATTTATTTTTCTTGTCTTGTATAGGAGTACCTTTTGTGGACGTGCTAAAGAAAGGTGGTGTTCTTCCGGGCATAAAGGTTGACAAGGGCACCATCGAGCTGGCTGGAACAAACGGGGAAACCACAACACAGGGTTTGGATGATCTTGGACAGCGCTGCAAGAAGTACTACGAAGCAGGTGCACGTTTTGCCAAATGGCGTGCAGTCTTAAAGATTGGTGCAAACGAGCCATCTCCACTGGCCATTCACGAAAACGCAAACGGTTTAGCACGTTACGCTGCAATATGCCAAGAAAACGGCTTAGTCCCCATTGTGGAGCCTGAAATTCTCTCAGATGGATCTCATGACATAAACAAGTGTGCTGATGTAACCGAGCGTGTTCTTGCGGCATGCTACAAGGCCTTGAATGACCATCATGTTCTTCTTGAGGGTACCCTTTTGAAGCCCAACATGGTGACACCTGGTGCTGACTCAGCAAGGGTTGGCCCAGAGGTCATTGCTGAACACACTGTTAGGGCTTTGTTGAGAACCGTTCCTCCTGCTGTTCCTGCTATAGTGTTCTTGTCTGGTGGGCAAAGTGAGGAGGAAGCAACGGTTAATCTTAATGCTATGAACAAGCTTAATGGGAAGAAGCCTTGGTCTCTTACTTTCTCTTATGGAAGGGCACTTCAACAGAGCACTATCAAGGCCTGGGCTGGGAAGAATGAGAATATTCCAAAGGCTCAAGCTGCGTTGCTCACTAGGTGCAAGGCTAACTCAGAAGCTACTCTTGGGACTTACAAAGGTGATGCTAAACTTGGTGAGGGTGCCTCTGAGTCTCTCCATGTTAAGGATTACAAGTACTGAGAAGCTTTTATTAACTTGTTTTGGAGTCGTTCATTTGCACTTTGGCATTGAGGCTATGGTGCTCTTTTGTTAGTTTGTTTATTTATTTAGTCATTGGAGGATCCATGATAAAGAAAGAATAATGGGCCTCTGCTGCAATGCCTTCATGGGCGTTTATTTTTTCAATATGTTTTTGGTAATAAAACAAGAGAAATACACTTCTCAATACACCTTAATTGTCTCTCTTGGCTTCCCACCTCCTCTTTATCTCTCTCTCTCTCTGTCTTAAACTATCATTCTAAATTGTGTTTCATTAATGCTTAAATCCTACTATTGTTACAATATACCGTTATATTCACCTTTATTGAGAATTTATCAAAATGAAGGATGAAAACTTAAAATGTTTATTCGAAGAAGATACAAAATTTAGGATGGTTATAAGATTATTTTTTCCTAATGGAAATAAAAGATCTAAATTGGTTTAGTGTTGATAACTTAAACGAGAGTTAACAAAAGTTATATGTTTAGGATACATAGTTATATGTTTTCTTCCTTTATTTTTTAAAAATAAGTAAGCTAGCAAAATGTCTCGAAAACGTTGAAAAATGTAACAATGTATTTCTTCTGTAGTTTTTAGGCGTAATATAGATGGTTTGAATAAATATGGAGTTTGATTATGATAGATAATTAAAAATAGTTCATTAATGCATTAATAATACATTAAAATTGTATTTAAAAAATCAATCCCTTCACGATACATTTAATTAAAATCATCTAACTCATTAATTCATTAATCAATTTTATACATGGCTGGAAATCAAAGTCCATTTAATACTATTTTTATTTTGATGTATATAATTGAAAATCCCTTTCCAAAATTTCTCTCGATAATTTCTCTATCTCTCTCTCTCGCTAAATTTTTTGCTCTCTTTTAATTCTCGTCTCTCTCTTTTTTTATAACGTCTCTGAGTCTCTCTTTCTGTCCATCAATTTGGCTGCTTCTCTATAAATTAAGAGAGCAAAAAGGTCGGTCATTAATCAAAAGTTGTTCGAAAAAATAGTCTCATTATGATCACGTTTAAACGAAATGTTGAATTAGGAAAAGTTAAGAATGATCCGCAATGAAAACAGGAAATCAAAAGTTGTACTCGCTAGTTCCAATGCTTGAGTGCTGAAACTATATTTTATTATGTATAAACTAATGATTTTTATTTGTCAATGACCCAATAGTTTAAAAAAAGATGTTGGATGGATTATATATATAATATCCAATGTGATGAGCTTTTTTTTATATAGAAGTGAAATGTATAAATTTAAATCATACAAATATACATGAATAAGCATGATTATAAGATTTGAAAAGTTAAATGATAATTTTTAAAAAAGTATAATTTTTTTAATATTATATAACTTATATATTTTAATCCGAACTCTACGAAAGAAATATGATAAAAACAAACTTAGAATTAAAAAAAATGAAAATGAGCAAGAAACATGGAACTAGAAGAATAGGGAGTGTAGCCCGCGAAAGTTTGTAACAGGAGAGAGAAAAATGGGCTACGAGACAATGAAGAAATTGGGAATACAAATTTCTTGTATTTTATATAAGTTCTGAAATTTTAATGATCTGTGATAGTACTATTGAGTGTGTTCATTACATCAGATTTATCCTTTGTGACCACACAAGTTTCTTCATTATACTCTACATCACATTAATGTTTTTTTTATATATATATAAATTACATCAAACTAGTCATTTAATAAACAATGTTGCTATCGATTTTGTTTTTATGAAATAAATTTAATTCACTGCTCTCTTTAATGTATTTGTAATTTTTGAATAATTAGAAGAATATTTTTGTCCATATTAAAATGAATATTCATTCTAGATTTTCAAATTGGTAGCCAGTTAAGTTGGGTTTTAGCCCACTATTGTGGACAACAAAAGATAGTTTAACAAAACTGGGGGTCCAAAAATCCAAACCCTCTTCTTACCCTTTTTCTGGGTCAAGAAAAATCACCAGTGGCTCTTCAAGTAGTTAGTACTGGAAAAGTTGACCAAAAACTGCTGGAAAATTGTTGACAAATAAAAAAACCATTAACAGTGAAGCGTTCAATTGATTGATAATCTTGGGGTCCCGTGTCCCAAATAAGCCCAGTGTTTTTCGAAGACGGCCCAGAAACATTTTTGGGGCTATTGTTTTTGCTATCAAAAGTATTTTTTCATTTTTCTTTTTCTCTACTTTACTCTTTAATCAAAGAAAAAAGAAAAATTTCATCATCCCAATTTTTTATTTTCTAAATTCGCAAATGTAAGCGATCACCTTTTCCTAGACAGTAGACAGTAGACAGTACCATAAGGAAAAGTCCCTCTCTCTCCCTTTCCTCTTCCCTGCCACTCAGAACCTGATTGCAGAATTTCATTATTGGGTGAGTTGTGACGAAAAATGGTTCCCTTTTACGGCCAACAATATTTAAAGCTAGTTGCAGAAGCCAGAATGTTTCCCTTCTGGATTCTGGGTACAATAAATTTTTTTTCCCCTGACCTCAATTGAGTTAACAACACTTTTAGTTTCGATTAAAATTAAAAAGGTAATAGTTCTTTAACATAAAATAATGCAATTCAAACACATTGAAAAGGAATAAGATTAATTGATATCAAGTTTCAAAATTTTTCTCTCATTCAAAGCTAAGATTTATTCATTAATTAAGTCACTTCATGATTCTCATAAAGCACCAGTTAGCATAAACGTCAAAATTGAATTATGATCCTACTATTTTGGGTTTGTCATTTCTGCCATGATCTTTTCTTCAAATAGTCGTCAATTATTCTATATTCAATTACCATTCTTTGTTAAATACTCTAATGTTTTGCTGGGAAAGAGTACAACCTGGGTGGAGGTAGCAGTAAAGGGGCAAAATAACTTGAATCCAGAACTGCAACATGGCTTTGAGTAGAATCGGGTGCTACCAAATATACTTCTATTAATCGAAGTGAATATTCCCGCAACAGTTTTGTTCTATGGCAATGGCAATCCTCTGAAGAAATTAATGAAAAATAACTATCAGCCTTTCAAAAAGAGTAAAATTGAGACTTTTGAAGCTGATGCATTACATTACATGGGTTAGTAGTTGATTTAAATAACTATGATAAAACCTAAAACAAATTAAATTTTAGCATATTAAATAAATAGTTTTCCCTTAAACATGTTCAGGTGTTATCTTACCTGCCAAATTATATATATATATAAATGATGTATTAAATTTTTAATTATTTAAAATTTTATTAAAAAAATTTATATGATAGAAACTTTTAATTCAACAACTAGTTTTAAGTTAAAATATTTAGTAAAATATTATTAAATATATAACTTGTATTTATAATTATAATATATAAAGATCAAACGATTTCATGCACAGGTTATATTGACTTTCTCTATCGATTAATATTTAATTAATTTGAAAAAATGTAAACAAAATCTTTTTAAGATTGGTGGTTAAAAGAATGGATATAAAAACTACTTTTTATATTTATTTAAATTTAAATAGATGTAAAATTTATATTTTTTTAAATGAGTTAATTTTTTAAAATTTTTGTATCAAACTTCATTTAAGCGTTTGGTTGAATAAATTTAAAAAAGTTATATAAAACGAACACATAATTTATATAAATTGAAATTATATGTAAAAAGTTATATATTCAAAATTTATGATTATAAAAACTAAAAATTGCAAAAATTGAGTCATAAAAAAAATTAAATTAATTACTAAATAATCAATATAAAAAATATTTTTATATTGTTATACTTTTTATATTAATTCTTTTATAAATAATATAAAAAATAATTTAAATGTAACTTTTAAATTAATTATATTTTTATTCAATTTATAAAATTATTTTCTAAATAATTTAAAATATAATATTTAAATGAAACAACATAAATCAAAGATGATAAACTTCCTTACATTTTTAGCTTCTAATTTTATTTTGGTTTAAGTACGTCAATAATAAATATTTCACTTCATTTTATATTTTCTTCTTTCTTAACCCATAAATATTTTGGTACGGTGACATTATATTTGTCTATTCTTCATTTTCAAATTCAAAGATGATAAAAAAAAGTTATAACAAAATTTGCATTCTTGACCTTCAATTTGTATTCTAAGTGTGATGAGCTTCTACACTCTGCGTATACTACAATCTTGTGTAAATTGTTTTTATTATTCTTTATGACTTTATAAATTATTTTATATTGCAATTTTAATTTTCTCTTTTCCTTTTTAATTTTTTTTTTTAGCTTTAACTTCTATATTGTCCGAGAAATAAAGACGTGTTCATTTTAAGCGTAGAAAAAATCATCTTAAGCATATTCTAATAATGAGTCTAGACTTATAATATCGGTTGTATATACATCAATTCTTTAATCAAATAAAAATTTTATTTTTAATTAATATTAAAAGTTATTTTTTATCCTACTAATATGTCAAGCTTAACAGAAATAACATATTTAATATATTGTTAACACAAGAAATTTTTATTATTTTAATTATTGATTCTTTTAATATTGTGATAAAGATAATGTATAGAAATCTTTATATAATTTAGACAATCATAAATACATAATCTAGTAATATCTATATATTTATAATCAATAAAATATTAATTGTTAAAATATGACCTAACAATTAATTATTAATTAGTTTTTAAATTATGTAAAATTTTGTAACTTATGATTAAATTAATACAAATTTATTTTGATAAAAAGTTAAATATCATTTATATTAATCTTTATTATTGTTACAATATATTAAAATTTTAATTCAATTTTTGATATTATATATTTATTGATCTATTTAAAGGTACATATAAATTTAGGTTAATTAGCATAATTAGAGGTGTTTTTCTAATATATTTTAAAAACATTACCATAAAATAAGCTTTTAAATATAAATTTATGCCAACCCAAACTTTTAAGCAAACTAGATCATGGTTTTAAAAATATTGCATAAAGTAAATAAACTAGAGTTGAACCTTAAATTTAGGAATCGAACTAAATTCTATTAAGATATAATTGTTAATAGTGTTTTGTATCATTGTTAACGAACATTGAACATACATCACTTGATAGTAACAGTAAAATTATTCTTTTAAAAGAATCACATGCACCACCAAATTCTTAAGATATTTATAAGGATTAAAATGCATATGTAAGACAACAGTACAGTGATAAATAAGATACTTTTGAGGTTGGACCATTATTAATTAATCAGTTTCGGTAGTAAATTTTATTTAAAATTAAGGACCAGGTTTACTTTTAATTTGAAAGATTTGGGGGGGGGGGTTCTAAATTAAATTCAAAATTTTAAATATATAAAAAATCATATTCTAAGATATTTTTGTCTATTCAAAATATCAAAATATTTATAGGACAATAATTATTTAAACCTTAAATAAATTATTTGATTCTTTTAGAGAGAAAAATAATAAAGCAAATCCATTATTTTAATATATTCTTTGATCTAGCCGAACCTCCTATATCCAAACGCTCACTAGATCAATTTTATTTATTTTATATGGTAAAGGTGAGTACTCTAATTTTACGAATAAACCTTAGTATCAGAGCATAATTATAAAGTAAATTTAGCATAACATAAACTAACGAATTAGTGAATATTATAAAAATATTAACAGAAAAAACGTAAGGTATAAGTTGAACGAGTTAATAGGCCTAAAGAAGAGTACTCAATTTGAAAAAGAGGGATCCTATTAATGAGAAATACTAGTATTAGATTGGACATATTGAAAAGAATTTATATTCGAAAGTGATTTGGGTTCCTTGATTGGCTAATTAATTAAATGTAACGTAGAGACAAGGAAGGAAGGAAAGGTGTGTGAAGATGATAATGGTGCCAATATGTGTCCGAAAGGCCCAGTGGGCTGTGGTTCACTTTTGCAGGAAGCTTCTTTACTCTTTCCCAGGTACGGACACTGGCTGTCCAGAAGTGTAAGATACATGCAAATTGCAAATGCATTGCATAGTAGTAGTAGTGGTGATGGTGGTGCTGTCACTGGTGTGCCCTTTTGCAGTATACTCAGCCTTATAATACAAGAAAAGATTGCACTGCACAAAAAACCCACTTTGTCCTGCTACTCTTCTCTCTCTCTCTCTCTCTCTCTCTCTCTCTCTCTATTATTTGAAAAAATTAATAATTTAACTTTTATTTATTTATTTCTCATTGTTGGCTTTTGGTGGGATTTCGCTTTCATGACTTTGTAATGGATCAATGGTGGATTCACATATTTATGCCATACCCAGGATGTATAAGAAGTCAGAATCCCACTTATGTGTCAATATATAGGCTCCGGGCTATTCATCACTAAGAATATGTGTCTGTTTAATTTAACTTTTTTTAGAAAAAAATAATTATTATTTTTAGAAATCATTAATTCAAAAAGTACTTATTCTTTCAAAAATATTTTATAATAAAAATATGCATATATTAATTAGGCAAAAGCTTAACTGTTATCCTTAATCTTTAAGATAATAGTTATAAGAAAATGAAAGCCAGATGTCTTTATTAAAAATATATATTTATTGCATTGCTAACATGGAACTTTTTATTTTTTTAAGTATTTAAATTGTTTTAATAAATAATAATAGATTTTTTACACCAATGTCTCTACGACATTCATTAGCAAGATTCTATTAGTTGTTGAGCAAATATTAACTTAAAATCCTTCTTTTCCAACCACACATATACCTAGCTATATGTATTCCTTTCATTTCCTTTTAAGCGTTGTTTATGGTTCTGATAGAAGAATTAAGAAAGTGATAAATAACTTTAACTAGTAATGTAATTTTACTAAATTATCTTTATGTGAAATTATAGTTGCTTAAAAAATTATAATGTTTAAAAAGCATCCATTGATTATTTGTTAATGATAGAATTTAAAAAATTATCTAACTTGTGCACTGATGTTTTAAAACGATAACCATAGTGGAAATATTTTTTTTTAAACGCAATAAAAATAAAATAGAAGGAGTAACGATTACTTCCACACATATATTTGTCCATGACTTTATGAGATTAGTCTAATAAAGTAAAATAAATTCTCAAATCTAATAATTTATTGATTTGAATTTTCACTCATTTTTCAACTAAGATAATTAGTTTGAATTTCAGGCTTGTCATATTTATCATATATTGAGACACTATTCCTTTATCTTAAAATTTTCCTCTTAAAAAAACATGTAATTAATTTCCTGTTAATTAATACACAAATAGGCAACAATTTCTCCAAAAATTCAAGGACATTTTCGACAGAGATATTTAATTTATAGTAAAATTTATATACAGTATATAAATGAATCTTTTTTCATAAATAACATACAAATATCTAATAATCAATTCTGCTTGGAGGAAAAAATTAAACTTGAAAAATAATATGTAATTGACAAAATATTAACAACCTTTTATTTGTAAGTTATTTTACAAAACTCATTATTATCATTTAACAATTTTCGCACTTAATATGGGTATCCTCATAAAAAAGCTAATAGTGCATGATTTCATTGTATCAGTGCATTGTATTTTCATCATTAATAGTAACCCTAAACATAGATATGGCCACAACAGAGGGTAAAGTGCACGATGGTCAACAAAATTACTTGCGCCGTGTTGGTGCTCTATTATTTCTCAGTCAAATAGCAAGGACCACACAATACATATAACTGTCGAGTGTATCGCTGGAGAATTACTATGCTGCAATGTATGGCTTTTTTTGGTACATGCTGCAATATGTTGCTGTATGATATTTATTGATTCTTTGCACAAACCTGCTAACAGTATGGTCATTAATTTGCACACCCATCAAGTGCAGTACACGCTTATTACACATATGTATTGATGTGTGTGTGCGTAAAATCTCAGTTGCTTTGTACTTAAGGGACTATTACACCACACTAGTTCTTCCTTACAAGTTTGGTAATTATCCATATTTTATCAATACAAAAGATATAACTTTTGATTGTGTCCTACAAACTTCATTTGTACCCAGCATTTGGGTGCAAATCCATTAGTATAAAAGGACGGGGTACGGTAGAAAATTTTAATTAGCTGGGTTTTATTCTTGGTACACCAAAATAGAAATCTTAAATCTCAATTAGCTTGATTTTATTCGTGGTAAATCAAAATACAGCAGACTCTCGAGGTAATGCAATGTTATTTTGCTACATTACATATATTTATTTGTGCAACCTTGTAATTACGTACGACCATTTGCAAGCACTCTCAGTGTATTCAATAACTAAAGATTATTGGGCATAGTCCAGTTCTGGCACCAATTTTTACTCATTCATCTTGTTTTATTGTTTCAACGATGGAATTACGTATTTACTTCGTAGTAATGTCGGCTTTCAATAGTGCATGCTGAATGTTGACTTAAGAAGTTGTTAATAACTGTTTTCTTAAACTTATATAAATTAAATTGCTGAGTTATTAATCCTTGTTGATTTGCAAAGTGGAATTAAACAATTAAAAGGAGAATAAAAAAAATTCAAATTAGAACATTTACTAGCTATTTCCCTAATATAAACCAATAATTATCTACAAATGTGCTACAATAAATTATTTTCTTTTAATTTGAAAGCTCTCTCATAATAAAAGAAAACGAAAGACCTGAAATTAATGCTTAAACGAACACATCTCTCTCTCTCTCTCTCTATTTATATATATATATATAATGAAAATTGGGAAGAGAAAAAATGATGAATATCATGATATGATAAGAGATAGAAAATAAAATAAATAAAGGTAAAATAACTGTGCATGAGGGTATATGTCTATTGAGAAAGGGAAAAAATAAAATAAAGGATATGATATGCAATGTAATATAATAAGAAGAGGAAGATAAAAAAAAATAATAGAGTGAAAAAAAAGAAAGTAGATGATAGTAACGTGTAGGTGCACATGAATCAGAATACAAGAACAATTTGCTACCTTAATTGCGCATCATCAGTACACAAACACCAAAAACCAGCACTATTTAACTCATATCTACACAAAAAGAAGCAAGAGAGAGGAAGGAGAAAAACAGTGATCAACTGTTGCTAACATCATTGAAGGTGCAACATACCAAGTGATACAATTTTAATCCCAGTTGTATGCATAAAAGAAAAAGAAACTCACCTGAATTGGTGTCATACTCCAACACACACGCAAGTGAACTTTGTCACTTCGCCTCCCTCACTAAAATATAATTGAACCCATTATTTTTCTCCTTAATGCCCCATTATATATATATATGTTAAGATTGATCACCAAGACATCATCAATCTCTATACATATTAACCCTCAGTTAGCTCTTGCTTACATAACGTGAGACCGTCTCAGATACTAGACTGTCAAATTTCTTTGCTTATACGAATAATTAAGCATCTTACACTCAATTAATGGTTTTGGTTTGCTTTATTGAGCTTTAAGCCATAGTTCTCCCACAGATTTCCTCCCTCAGTACTCATCAAGAAGGGAAAGCAGCTATCAGCTGGAGCAACATTTCCAACATTGGAATTTGAAGGTGAACAACCATCATTTGTTTGTAGCCTCTCAATCTCCTGCCTTTGATCGTTGATATCATCACAATAGGTACTTCCTTGGTTGTATAGGGAAGGTTGATGATCATCATTGTTCTTGAAGTAAAAACAACTTCTTGAGTTTTCCCTGCGCTTCTTGTTCCCTTCTTTACCATCATCTCTTGGATAGTTGCTGATACTTTCCCATTTCTCTCTGCACATCAAAGCACTCCTTTGGTAACCAAAACAAGCCATTTTGGTTGCTACTTCTTCCCATGTAACCTCTTCTGAACACTCACTTTGTGGAAACCTTGTTTCCATCTCAGCTCTCAACTGTTGAAGCCTTGTAATCTCAGATTCTGGCCAGCTATCAGCACCTCTGATGACAGTACCGCAGTTTAAGATTTCACTTCCATCTTCATTATTCTGGTTTTCACTGTGGTTTTGAACTCCAGTTGCTATTACATTTACACCCTCATGAGGTTCAATCTTCATTATTTCTCTTGCTGTTAGTTTTTGCAAAGCCTCCATTAGAGCAGCATCTCTGGCTTCAATCCATGCCCTCTCTTTAGCCCAAAACTTTTGCTCCCTCTCTAACCTGCTTGCCTCTTGTTTCCTCCACTCTTCCTCTCTCAACACCCTCTCCCTTTCCTTCTCTTCCAGTGTCTTCACCAGCTTATCCAACCACTCCTTTTGCTTCTCAACGAGCTTCCTCATCTGTGAGTCAATGAAGTTTTTTATCTTCACCTTCCAGCTCCTCCCACTCTTCCTCTTTCTCCTCTTCTCCATGGATTCATTCTCCATTGTATGATTATTTCCATCATTATCAGATGATGATGTGTCAAAGTCAGTGGAGTTAGTGAGGCTGAGGCTATCACAATGCTTATTGTGAGACTGAAACATTTCTTGATTTGTTGGGGCGGGGGCATGGCCACTTGTTTGAAAATGGATGCTGCTAACAACATTGGTTTCTGGGACTGAAACTGTGTTACTGTTTTCTCCATATAAGGCTTCAAGTTGACGAAAGAATCTGTAATGCTTCCCATCATGTCTTCCTGCCTTACCTTCTTTTGTCTTCTTGTAATATTTGTATAGATTCTCAAACTTCTCTCTGCACTTTTTTCCACTCCTTTGGTATCCATGTTCTTCAAACATGATCCTGAGATCATCAGCACAATCAAAAACGAAATGGGTATGGTAGAAATTAAACAAGAAAAGCCTATGAGAAAACTGATGACCTATCAATGTAGGAGAATAGAACCCTAGTTCCCAAAGAGGCCCCATCATGTGACGATGATGAGCCTTGGAAATTAATTAATAATTTTATGCAATGCCATGCAGTGACGTTTTTAGGTTCTTGCCACCTAGTTATAGCAAGCATAACTAAGCACACGAAACCTCAAATGCCATAGAAGTGAGGTTTCGAAGGAAGAGCCCCGGGTTGATGTCATTTCATACGATGGAATCAGAAGACAGGTGCAAAGACATTGGAATGTGGTCAATGAATTTCCAATAAGGAAAAACAAATTAACAAACGAAGGGATCAAAATCTTGCACTTAAAAGAGGGGTACAAATTTTCCAAATGGAAAACGAGACAGTGCTAGAACCGTACTAGACTCGGCACAAGAACTTAATGCCTTCTTTTAAAGTACACGATCAATAGTCGAAAACTGAGCACATAATTTAACAACTATTGCACACTGTATAGTCATTTCCACCGAAAGAGAAGCTTAACAAAATCGCATAATGCACACCACTATATATCATATGTTTCCAAACTTCACAGCTACCAAAATTAACATCATGTGCAGTCATGTCACCTTTCAATTAAGTAAAATCTCGAAGGAGCAGCTACATCAACATGTGCATCAAATTTAGTAGCATGTCCTCAGATATTTTTTTATTTATTAAAAAAAACAAACAAATTATCCAAATTTATCATTTTAAAAATCTCAAATTGAAGAAGAAAAAGAAGTAAGTAGTAATATATTGAAGAAGAGGGAGAATTATTCGGGATAAGTATAGGTAGTGAAATTTGGTGATTTGTACCTAGAAACTTCATCCCATAAGGGTCCCTTCTGATTAGCCTCTTTGAATTTAGGGTCCAAACGAGATCTGATCTCAAGAAGAGTGAGAGTCTCTTGTCTGGGCCATCTTCCAGTGGAGGCATCTCCACCGATGCAACCTGCACCCTCGACCTCAAAGCCACTAAGGGGAGGCGTTGAAGCAGTGGCGGCGGCTGCAGTAACAGGAGTGGGTATAGTGATGCTTGCAGCAGCAGAATCAGTGGCGGAGGCAAAGTCGTGAAGGCCACGTGGCATTATGTCACGACCGAACATCATGACCTCGTAGTGTTGTTGGTGATGCTGGGAAGTGGGTGGTTGAAAGGTTGTCAGATTCCGGTGGCCGGGGAAGAGCTCGGCCGTGGGGTGCGATGGCATGGAGGGGAAATTATGGACCGGCCTCGGCCCATTAACGACTTGTCTTAGATCGTTCATGTTCATGGCATACTGATGCTGTTGTTGCTGATGGTGGTGGTGGTGGTGATGGTGATGATGATGGTGATCTTCCGTTTCCATGAGTTGAGAGTTGAGATAGAGAGAAGGAGAAGTGATGAAGAAATAAGAAGTTGGAAGAGAGAGAGAGAGAGTGTGAAGAAGGAGAAGCAGTGGGAGAAGCGGCAGAGTCGGATCCTGTCGTCCACGAAAAAGCTCAAATTTGAAGCTGAGGACAATGGTCCCATCCCATGGCCAAGTGTATGCTTGTCATACTGTCTATGTATGAGAATAACACAGAGTCTGTGAGTGTGTAAGAGAGAGAAGACTCACTCACTCTCTTTCTCTGTTTATATTAGTCGAGGGAAATTCTATTCTTGTTTAATATATTAATAATATTAAATATTATATTTAAAAAAAAGTTAATGAATTTTTAATATGTACAGTTTGATGTGCATTAAAAAAGAATAATAGAAAAGAGACGTAATTATAAGAAAGTGACGTAATCTTATGAAAAGATTAAAAATTGAAAAAAGAATAATAACGTAGAGTACGGGTATAGTGGTATTGTAGAGTTGGGGTGTGTTATGTGTCTGTTTAGGCTTTTGAAGGACAATGGTGCTTCGTTCCGTGTCTTTGTTCAGTACAGTATGGGGGGGAGGGATGCAGGTACTTGGGAGAAGGGGTGACTCACGCAACAAAAGGGTCAAAGCCCTAAGGCCATAAGAGACGTCTGTGTCTATATACAGCCTATATATATTTAGTCAAACTTTTAATGTGAGTGTGTAAAAAGTTTTTCTTCTTTTTCTATTTAATGTTTTTAATACATTTTCCATTTTAGTGTAGATGTGATATAAGGAACCAAAAATATAAATAAATGTGATATTTTATACAAATATGGTGTAAGTGTTTAAAAAAAGTTAGATAAATAATTAACGGAATTCAAATTAAAGGTAAAAAGTTCTCTTAATCATGCTTTGCAGTTAAGTTGTTAAGATTAAAATTTATTTAATATTATTGGAAAAAAATTATTTAATATTCAAAAATTATTATAAAAACTTACATAATTTAATATTAATTAATTATGTTAATAATTAAGATTTATCTTTCACACTCTTACTATCTTTATCTATCTATCTATCTATATTAGTTTTATGTTCAAATTTAAAAAAATCATAGTATATGTTAAAATAAAATTTATTAAAATATTATAAAAAAAATTTGGTGTATAAATTAATTTTTAATCATGTAATAACTCACATTAAAGGTAAAAAGTTAGATAAATAATTAACGGAATTCAAATTAAAGGTGAAAAGTTCTTTTAAACATACGATTGCATATAAATTGTTAAGATTAAATTTTATTTAATATTATTAGTAAATAATTATTTAATATTTACATAATTATGATAAAATGTTACATAAGTTAATATTATAACATTAATTAATTAATTTTGTTAATAATTAAGATTTATCTTTCACACTCTTAGTATCTTTATATATATATTACGTATTTGCATGTAATTTTATGTTCAAATTAAAAAATATATATAGTATATGTTAAAATAAAATTGATTAAAATATTATAAAAAATTGTTATGTATAAATTAATTTAAAAACATTTAATAACTCATTGATCAGACATCAAAATTCACATGAGTTTTACTTTAGAAAATATACAAAAGATAATAATTATTATTTTATTATTATTTACTTGATTGCAAATTTTATATAAATAATAAAGTAATATATAATTATAAAATAATTAGATTGATGAAGTTCACTCTCGCATAAAAGACACCTCAAGAGATAAAACTTTTTCACGTGGCAGTATGAAAAAATATATATATCAATCACCAAATTTATTATAAATAATTATAATTAAAATATACAATTATGTATTTATATTAAAAAATTTAATTATAAGTAATGATATTCAACTTTGACTATTTATATTTACACAATCATGATTTACTTCTCTCGTGTAAAACAGTGTACTTATTAAATACTCTCCACACAAAATATACAAGAATCAATTTATATTAATGTCTAAGTTAATTTGTATTAATTATATCTATAAAATTTAAAATTAATTTAAAATTATTGAATAATTTATTCAATATATATATATATATATATATTCAAAATAAAAACATTATGCATTTTTAAAGTACATAGAATTAGAAATATTAATGATAATTTTTATGGGTGTTCAAAAAATCTAATTTCATAAATCTAATCTATAATCAATGTTAAATTAGTTTTAAAAATCTAGATTCATATTAAACCGATTTTTTTATTAACTATATTTGTGTAACCTGGTCAATGTCTAAATTCATTTTCTAAAATCAGATTTTTTTTAAAAATTATCCAAACACATATCTATAAAGCAACTTTATATCTTTATTTATTAAATTTTGTTATTATATTAGTTTATAAAATTTTATTGTAGCTACATTTTATTACTACTAATTTTTTATTAATCTTAATTCTTATAATTAAAATATTTAAAATAATTAAAAATATTAAAATATAACAAATATTTTTAAATTAATTACTACTGTTATTTTTATATTTATGTTTATTTTTTAATTTTTAAAATATTATAACATAAAAATTTTATTATTATTTATTATTAATTTTTATTTTTATAGGTTTTAATTTAAATTTTCACTATAAACTTTGTTTATTAAAAATAAATTAAAAATAATAATAAATATTTTATATACTTCTATAAAATATAATATATTAATAAATATTGTTAAATCTTTTTGAAATGCACTAATTTAATGTAACATTTTGTATAATAAATTAGTTTTATCTTAAAAATATAATTTACAAATATATTAAAAATCAATTTTACGTTAAAAATTAAATTTAAAATTAAATTTAAAACTAATTCAACATAAAACTAAATTTAAAACTAGTTTCAACAAAAAATTAAATTTAAAATTAATTTTAAACTAAATTTAAATTTTAAAACTATTTTTGAACAGATTAAAAAAATTAAAATAAAATAGTTTAAAATTTAACTCATATAATTAATTTGTGTGATGGATAGATGATAAAAAATAGAATATATTTAAATATTTATTACTTTAATAAAATATAAAAATAAAAAATATTATTAATAAATTAAAATATACGCAAATACTCTCTTGACATGTATTGTTAATGTAATGGGTTAGAATACTTTTTGTATTCATATTTTATCTTTAATAAATGTTAATGCTTAATAAATAAATAAATAAATATATATATATATAATGTTATATTATTTATTATAAAATTTAAATATTTTAATATAATAATTTAATAATAAATAAAAAATAATTATGGTATATTTTTACCATATGTAAAATGAGTTTTAAAGTAAATTCAAATTTTAAAACCAAATTTAAACCAATTTTAAAAAAATTAAAATAGATTAGTTTATAATCCAATCTATAAATTTAAATTTTAAATAGATTTAAATTAGTATTTTGAAAATCCAATGTATGAACACCCTTAATAATTTTGTCAAAATTTTACATAAATAATCAATAAAATATAAACAAATTTATAATTTATACAAAATTATTAATAATATAAAAAAAAAGAGTAACGTAATTATTTGATTTCTCATATATGCGTAAGTGTAACCACAGTTTTAGAACGAAATGTGTGTGCGTAATGGCATTGAAAATATGTGAACAAAAGTGGGATGACGAATGGAAGACAGCCGGTTTACATTGCTGACGCGTTTATAGTGCTTTGGATGTTACCTTTTTGACTTTGGTAATCATTCATTACAACCCATCACACACCCTGCTAGTTCCATTTTATTTTCTTAGAGTTTTATTTATTTTTATTTTTAAGATATTCAAATAATTAATAAATAGAATTGTAAAAAATATAGCGTACTCTTTGGTTTTACATTAAAATTCAATTATTTTAAATAATATTTGCAAAACTGGATACCGTAATTTCTTAAGTGTTGAACCGGGGATGTTAATGGATTGTTTTGATTTGGTTCAGGTTTATAACTTTTTTGTTAAATATAAACTAAATTAGTCCGATTAAAAATGGGTTCATTTTTTTAATTTAATTCATGGAATTGAATATACTTTTTAAAAAATTGAAATGAATTCATGATGATAATTAATTCAGAAAATTGTCCCTTTCTTACTAAAATAAAGTTGTATATATGAATGTAAGGATGGGAAAAAAAACTTACTAATATATTAAGTATATTTAGTTTGAGTTGTATGTAATTCTATTTTTTTTATTCTATCAATTGGGAAATTTTAGCTTTAAAATATTTTTAAAAAAATTCAGTAGACAAATTTTAAATATTAATTCTTATTTTCTTTTCAAAGGGTCTAATATGGATTTGATATATGAAATAATTTTAAAGTTTAGAAGTAAAAATCTAGATAAAATTTGAAGAGTTTTGTACGATGTGGAATTAGAGTTTAAAGAGAGAAGTTTTTTAGATTTATTTTATTTTAATTAAAATTTTGTTGGTGACATGAAAGCGGAAAATCATTTAAATAAATTAATTTCTGAAAACTTTAAGTAAAATAAATTAGATTTTGAGAATTGCAGGTAAAATTAAAATGATAAAAAAAAAACTAAATTTTACTCAATTTTAGAATTAAAAAATAATTAACTCGATAAAAGTTTAAAAGGCTAAATCGCATAAAGTCAAAATTAAAAGAGATTAAAAATACATTTAAGATTTTAAGTAAAAATATATCAAAGAAACTATTCTACTTAATTGGTTTGAATAACCCCCGTCTTTTTAAACAAAACAACAAGCGGCATTGTGCTTGTGCACGAACGAGAAAGAATAATTTGAATTGATTGGTATCAAATTTTAAATCATAATACTAATACTCGAATTAAAATTATTTGATTTTTATTAACTTGGTTTAATATTTTTTTAGTTGCATAATTTGATTCAATTTAAAACCAAAGATATAAGTCAAATCAGCTTAATTATTTCTGTTTAAGTTTGAGTTTATACACCTAACAAGTGGTTTTTGAACGGGGTAATAAACATAAACATATATAATATTACGTACATATTTATTTTTTCAAAATAATAACTCTTTTTCATTAGAAATTTAGAATAGGTATCGAAAAGTTGATGGTATGCTGCGGGTGATGAAAACGATCATAACAATTTTTTCGATTACGAGTTGTTAAAAAAATTAG